GAACATTTTAGTATTTCCACCGAAAAGACTATCCCTACATTGTACCCCTTGCTTGGTCTCAGCATGTCGACGCAACCACCAGATACCTGGCAGGCCAACGACCATTCCCGCCAGATTAGGCGCTCACCAGTGAAAGGCGTCTCGTTGGTAAAGTGTTTGTTAAAACTCCACTGAGACCTAGTGACCACCATGCGGTGACGTTTGGTTTAGTCCGCTATTGGGCTATTAGCCTGGAAACTTCTGCTTTGCAGATTGCCAAGGAATAAGTAGTTTCCTTGAGCAATTTAAAAAATGGTCAGCTTCAGTTGAAGAGTCACGTAGAATCATTATCCCGAAAATCATAGAAGCCGACGAGAGGTAGGTCCCAAAAAACGCCGCTCATTCGGACGGACAAAAAACTACGTCAAAGTTTCCGGCGTCTTCGAAAAAGAGACCCTTCAACCATTTCGCCAAAAGATAATCTAAGCTGACAAAAAGCTAACTGGCGTTTCGTAAAATATGGAGCCGCTTTAAATCAAGCATCAGCATAAAGATACAAGGAAACTGGCCACAATACTTGACTACGCTCGGGAAAACGAAAGCGTGCCATTTAACTACATAAAGCACTGCTGAAGGATTAAGTTGACTTTTTCCCAATGAGAGGATCGAAACCCACTTTGCTACGCAGCGCGGTACGTTCGATTCGGTTTCGTTTTTCCCTCGTGCAAATTCGTGAAAGAATTTTTTCGTTGTTCAATCTATTCACAGAGTACACATGAGTAATTGTTGAATTTTACTACTGTAACAAAAAATTTGGGAGATAACCCTTGATATTTTGCTCATACATCCTATTTTACAGCTAATCCTAAGCATGACATCAATTTACGCCATTGACCGCTGCAGCTATTGCTGGACCACAGCAGATGTGGACGAAATGGCTGCCCGTCGAATGTCAAACGCGGCATGCAATGCCAAACATGCAAGGCCTGGTGGCACCTACAGGACGACCAGATAAGCCGACTAGCTAACTCTCCTGATCTGTTTGTCTGCGCCAGCTGCCCCCACGTTAAGGGTGCAATGCATACCGCGGCCAAGAGGAGAGCCCCCCAAAACGGTACCCAATCCCCAGTGCGGATTCAAAAAGACCACTGCCAGTGTTCCGCTTTAAGCGGGATACTCGACGCGAAATTAGAGCGACTTTCAAAGGCACTGGAGGACCCAGGCGCTAAGAATGCAGCGACCTGAACGAAAGTTGACAAGGAACTTTCTTCGCTGAACGAATACCTCGCGATATCCATACTGGGCCCCATGGCTTCGAAGAAAGTTATACAACCTTCTGACGCGGCTATAAAAACCGCCAGAGCGTCTCCAGTGGACAGGCGCCTAAGTGAAAACAGACTGATAATCTGGGGGTCATTCTCCGGAAAAATCACGCCAGCGAAGCTGGCACAGTCGATCCTTAGCAATGTCCTCACCAAGCCCGATAAATCACTCCACACAGAATGGCCACGCCAGAAGGGAAGTAAGCGACCTCTTGGACTTCCAGGCACTCTTTCTTCCTCATCTGACGTACAGGAGAACTTGGAGCGGGCTGGCAACATTCAAGAAGCCAACTTAATGATCAGACGCCTATCTGACGATCGTCCTCTAGACGCGCGTAAGCTTGGTCATAGCAGGTCAGGGGGTGAAGCACGAAACAGGCTTTCACCGGGCACCAATTCGGCCGACCCCAAACTCATGACCGGGCCGATTGTGGTCATATTCCCCTGTGCTCCCGAAATTGGGCAAGCGGAACCAGCTGCGTTTCCGGACAGCAGCTTTTATTCAACCGCCACAGGCGTCTTGCCCACCAAAGGCAGGGACGCCCTGAAGGAGGCAAACCCCACATGCAAGTAGCGCCCAAACTATGTGGAGATATCAACGCTTGTCTCCGTATCAGAGGACACAGCTTCAGCCGTGCACTCCTCAACAAAGTCACAGCCTCTGAACTGGACTGAGTCAGACGTGCGGGGACAAGAAGCGAAGCCAATCTCCAACTCCACTCCGTCAAAAGCGGCCTCTCTGCTTGTGGACGCAACCGTCGCCCAGGACCCCGACAACCGAAGCCATAAACATGACTACAGCCACCCGGAAAATCCCTCGTACGTCCAGTTGGCCACGGTGATCGCTGGCGGATCGGGTGTCCACACAAACACGAAAAAGGAGCGACTGCAGCGAAAAAGGCCACATAAAACTCGCCAGATTAGAAGACTGCTTGCTGGCTTCAAGGTGCATTCCTTCGCGTAAACGAGCCTCTTGAAAACGCCACCAAAATCATTACTTCTTGGTGCCACCACCCAACGCTCAGCCCCTCACAGAGACACTTTTCCGGTCAAACCGCGCAAAAACACCCAAGGATTCAGAAAGGCGAAAGCTTGCAGCAAACCTTTGATCAACATCAAATCTGGTCGAAGAAAAGGGGATGCTGAAGGAGCTACAAACAGTATCGGTCGAAATTTTTACCCATGGGGAAAAACTCCTTCCTCCAAAAAAGCCGAGCAAACTGAGCTCCCACGGAACGAAAAAACCTTCCAGACGAAAAGCACTCCCAGAAACCACAAAGACAGGAAGCAAACAACGTTGCCGCAGAGGTCCCTTTGCAGCCTTAGACTCAAACCCGGTGCAGAACTATCAAGTCTGCTAACCACCCTGGTCACTCAACTTTCGGCTCCTCACCCTCGGAAGCAGCAGAGACTGTTGAAATGCTTGTCCACAAACTGCCTTAGCCTTTTAAACTCGGCGATGCTAACCATTCAGCTTGCCTTGAACAATCGTCCATAATCGCACTCACAGTGACCTGGCTTACACCAGATGTCTCTGACGCGGAGATCTCGATAGACGGTTACTCTAATTTTCGAGCTGACTGGAAACGATGGAGGGCTGGTGAGGCTGCTCTGTACTTACACGTGGCCCTACAAAACCCGATTGTCCTCTCTAACGCCAAAAATGCACACTTTTGCGATGCACTGTGGGTCCAAATCCCGCTGCGCGGGTCCGATTCTCATCTTCTCGGCGTGGTCTACCGTAGCCCTTCGAGTCTCCCTGAAGATGACCAATTCCTCATACAAACCCTTGAGCAGCTCTCCTCCTAGCACCACTTCACTCATCTCCTGCTGGTAGGCGACTTCAACGCCCCAAAGGGCTCCTGGGTGGAGCTCCAGCGCGACGAATCAGGCGGACCTTTTGCAGCGGCGCTGTTAGAAGTCCTTCAACAGAGCGCTTGGACCCAACATGTCGCTGCACCCACCAGATACCGCGCAGGCCAACTACCATCCCTCTTGGATTTGGTCATCACCAACGAAAGACACCTCGTTGATCAGGTAACAATTAACGCTCCACTGGGGTGTATCGACCACTGTGTGCTAACCTTTGATTTCATCCGCTATTGGGCCAGAAATCCCAAACCTCAAACGTGGTTTCGAGACTTCCGCCGTGCAGACTTCTCAGTAATGCGCATCTTCCTTGAACAAGTCACACTGGGACCAGCTCCGGTGGAAGAACTATATAGGACCATTGTCCAGAAAGCTCACGAGGCTGAAGCGACCTTCGTCCCCAAAAACCGGCACGAATTCGGATGAACTGCAGGATGCCAAGAAGGATTCGGCGACTTCTGGGAAAAAGATCCCAAGTCTTTTTCAAAAAGTTGACTACAGGGGATACAGAAGATGAGCTGGCATTTCGTAAAATGCGGAACCGCTGTAAATCGGAAATCCGTCAATGGAACATACGAAAACAAGCCACCATCCTGGACCTCGCTCGAAAAAACAAAAACGTACTGTTCAAGTACATGAGACATCGCCGCAGAAACAAGCCATCTGCGTTCTCCTTGAGGGACAGAAACGGAGAACCGACGAATGACCCAACAGTGGTATCTGAGGCTTACAGAGAACACTATGCGTGTCTATACTCAGCCCCAGCGTCCTCGTCACATCCACTCTTGTCAAGGAGAAACTACGAACAGCCTCTAACCGACTTGGTCTTCACGGTGGAGGACATTCGTCAACTCTTGGACAAGATCAACCCATTCTGCGCATTGGGACCCGACGAGGTCCATCCGAGGATCCTGAAAGAAACGTCCTCCACACTGGCAAACCATTTACACTTGGTGTTTCGTCAGTCGCTTGACGAAGGCCGCCTTCCCCCTGCTTGGAAGGAAGCGATTGTCATGCCAATTTACAAAAGTGGTGACCGACTATCGCCTGGCAGCTATGAGCCTATAAGCCTCACTAGCGTGCCGTGCAAGGTGATGGAACGCATTCTGAAGCGGGCTATCCTAGATCACCTTACTTCCAGTAATCTGATGTCTCCAGCTCAACACGGATTTCTCCCAAGACGCTCTCGCTTGACAAACGTGCTCGTGCTTATGCACAGCTTAACCCAAGCCAAGGATGGAGGACGCACGCCAGATGCCATATCTTTCAGCTTCTCAAAAGCATTCGATAGGGTCCCACACGTCCCACTGTTCCACAAACTCGAGTCTTACGGGATTCAAGAGAAAGTCCTTCAGTGGATCAGGGCTTTCCTATCAGACAGATTACTTCGAGTGAGAATAGGCTCGACCTATTCCTCTCCAGCGCCGTCTCCATTGGAATTCCTCAAGACTCCGTCTTGGGACCACTCCCGTTTCTGATCTACGTCAACGACCTCCCAGATGTTCCTGCGAGTCCATGCTTACTTTTTGCGGATGACTTGAAATCCTGGAGTTCCAATACCAGTGCCCTCTAAATGGATGTAGACGCTGCCAGGTGGTGTTCTTTGGACTGGCACCTTACTCTGAATGACGAAACGTGCGTCCATATGTCGTTTGGAGGGAATTCAGCGAATGCCTTTGTTATGCATGGTGAAAAAGGACCAGAAAACATCACGAGGATAGATGCCAAAAAAGATTTGGGCATCTGGGTCCCCTCAAACTCGTCCTTATCACGGCACCATGAGAAATCGGCCCAAAAGGTATTGCCATTTTACCGGATGATCCGACGCACCTCCCGTATTACTCGCATGGACTTCCAAATACTCTATGGGGCCTACGTCAGACCGCTCCTGGAATACGCCAACCGAGTTGTCTACTAAGGACTCACGAAAGACGTCATCCTCATTGAGCGTGTCCAGCGAGTCGCTACGAGAATGGTTGCCGGCCTCAAATCCGTGGACTACGAAACGCGTCTCGCGATGCTCGATCTCTTTTTCCCGGAGTACCGTCGCCTCCGAGGGGACCTAGTTCTTACTTATGCCCTGTTTGAACAAAGCTTGGCAAACAGGCTTTTTACCGTTGACCCAGCAAACATATGGCGGGGACATAGTAAGATAACTTTCAAGCTCAGAGCACACGCATTCATTAGACAAAATTTTTCTCATTTCGGGTAGTAGCTTCGTGGAATGACCTTCCTCCGACGGTTGTCCACGCTCCTTCTAGAATCCAGTTTAAAGCACTAGTAGACATTTATTTATGCAAATTCTCGCGCTGCTGAGCATACTGCTTCGCACTGCGAACATAAAGAGCAATGCTACACCCTTTTTTCACTTGTGCCTTTCAGGTGAACGACAGCCACTGACCGACAAGAACAAAACCGACCCGGGAAACTTGGGCAAAAGCCTCGATCCTGTGAATCAATCCGTGTATCCGTGAAAAACGCCTTCTAATCATTGTTTATTATCATCGTAACACTGTATTGACCCGCACAGTTTACTATTCGCTACTTCACTAGGCGCTCATCGACGCCTTTTTTCTCCCACAAATATAGCCAAAATATGTCAACCGTCTAGTCACCCAGCTATTTCATATTGGACCTACGGTATCCCTGGCTGCCATTGGAGCTGTTGAGCCTGCTATCTATATCCTTCCGACCAATCAAATAAGGGATTACTGCATGGGGCGTTGCCAAATGCTCGTCAGGTGGGTTTTGTCATTTTCTTTGCCACTGAATAGGGTGACTTTTGAGGCTGTGGTGTTTGAGAGTTTAAATACACAGTAGTACGTTGTGGAAAAATTTCGGTGATCTAGGTGTTTCGCGTGTAACATGTGCGATCGTCTGTGACCACCTGGGCGATTTGTTGGCGCTAAGTTCACAAAGCAACATGAAGACTTGAGATTGGTGGGATTCACCAACGCCGCCCGCAATACCTAGCATAAGTGTTGAAATTCGGGCTTCTCACGGAGTGGGTATTGGTGTTTCGTTGGATCTCATATTCCTTATTGGTCGGGGTATCTGAATGAAAACACAGGAAGTCATCTTCACAGAGAACGGCCACCGCGACGTCCGTCCGGGGTCCGGCGTCGTTTCCTGCTTACGTCAGTCACTGTAACACTACCATGCATATATAGATAACGCGAAAATTGGTCTGAAAATCCGGAATGACGACTACCCAGATCTTTCACTGGAGAGCACGGATCGTCTGATACAATGTTCCGGATTCTGTCAATGAGTTCGAAAAATACACTCTTTGGCCTTTTGACAGTGAGATGGCGGTTGGTGCGTCGCATCTCAGTGAGACTCGACTCCGGCTGCCTGGTTTTTAAGTGAACTTCGGGGTCATCAACTTTGGAGTCGTAGTCCATACAGATTGGCTTTGCCCATCAACTCGGAGCCTGTTTGAAGCAATCACCGATCATCTAGTAAGCCAACTCCAGTAGGCAGACATTACCTTACACCCACTCGGTCACGCGGAACAATGGAACAGTGGCAGACCGCTGCTTATTTCTGCACTTCTGTTTTAGTCGAAATCATAGAGAGCGGCTACTTCTGCTAGATGAGTCGAGGGGTTTTGAGTATGAGTACAAGTTAAAGTGATGGAACCTGATTCCAAAAGACCGCCACAGGACCATTGGAAGCCTAGTTACACTTTGTCATATCCTTTACCGTGGCGTCAACGCTAAATTTCTTGAACTTGTCACTACCTGTCGATGGTCAGTGCAGAGGACATTGCTTCTTGGGATATTGCTACTCAGCGGGATCATACAATCTTGCTGATGGTTGGGCGATATTGTAGGCTAGTTCTTTCAGCACCCAAGGATGAAGATCACCCGGTCGGGTAATTTGTATGGGTCTTAATGAGATGGATAATAGACCACGTCGCTTTCGGTGGTGTCCTAGCCAAGAAGCATTGCCTCATTACCATCTTCCTCACACACAGCTGCATCACTATTAACACTGTCTTTTTTTCGCCTTACAACCACAAGTTTTGTCTAATTTTATTTAAGGCCTTGGAAAGAGAAGAAGCAGTTTGTTGTCCACCTCGCGGTTTGCGCCATTCTGAAGGAGATACGGTGAACAACGCCTGTCTCAGACGATTTTCCGGCATACGTAGTACATGACCAAACCACCGCAGTTGATGGTGCTAGATGATTTCTGTGACGTTCTCCGTTGCTGGATATCAAAGAGCCGTTTCTGCCCCTGACAGGTTTGCTGGCAAGAGGCTTCCTGGGGCCAGTCGGACGAATCAAGTGATAGTCTGCTGGGATTTCTAGCATGTTTCGCACCTATCCTATATTCAATATTTGGATTACGTTATCTGGATTGTACCGCAAACAGAAGTCTGGGTTTTGAATACCGCTTCAGCTATCTGTTCCAAATGGACATCAGTACCCGAATTCGGACCGTCCGACGAACGTTCAAGAAACCGGTTTTTATAGTTTTATGGGTTCATTAGCTTCTGAATGGCTAACGAGGACGTGTGCGTTTGGTGTACACCTCAGAAGATCAATGCAGAGCAGCATCGCACAAGTGCATGGTCGGAGTCCACGCTGGTACTCCAGAACGAGTGGCAGGCGTTGATCGACCCTCGCCATCGATAACCGACGGCAATGTGGTCTATTTGGATTAATAACTTGGTCGTTCGTGAGTATCGCGTTTTCAAGCGATCTCCACTGTTCCGGATATTAGTACCGCAAAGTAACTATCCATCCGCAAAGTAAGTAACCATCTGAAGCGGGCGCGTTCCGTAGTCTGTGTCTCGTCGTCAACCGAAGATGGTCACCCATTGTGGCCTCAGTAGTACTCGGTCTGACTTCTCGAGAGTTCACGGCACTAGCAACCACAATGGTGTCTGAGCTTTTATTGCTTCATAAAATAACACCTTAAGTGTCATCGAAACAGTCTTTAGCAGATTCAGAGCGACGGCTGACTGGATCTTAGGGAAACACAGTAAACAGTGTGCGATGGACCTCACTTCTTCCAGATTCTTTCATAGTTTGCCAAACAAACCGCTCACAGGCGACTATCAACGGGTATCTACTCAAGTAGGGACACTTCCAGTTGATCGTTTAATACAAAGGCCCCTCCGGCATATCCAGCTGCAGAGGCCTTCGCATAACCACAGGTGCGCAGCCGGAAGCTGGAAGAGAGGGGGGAATGTAGTCGGTTCGATTACGGCACTTGTACCCTGTATCCCCGTTTCTGGTAGACAGTCTATATCAATGCAGAGGGAATTCGGCGTACAAACAAGAGCAGGTATATGTCTTACCTGCTTCAGTGTAGAAGATTAAAAGCAGCCAAGTAGGCTTGTCTTTTGGGTTCGAAGCTGCACCGAGGATACAGCTGGGCATAATGCAAGGCTAGTACGGGGACCTGTGGAGGGAGTATTCGAATGGGGGTGAGGTGGGGCAGAAGAGGGAATACCTGAAGGTGTAAGATTGGGAACGTCAACAGTAACATGTTTGCGCTTGCCCACCCTACTATATGCAGCAAGTGTAGCGAGCCGGCTGGTGGCGCCGCGCGATGGCCAATGTGGCATGAGAATGTTGTTAGTTGTAAGTATCATGGTTGTCTAGACTGAAATGCCATCAGGAAGCCCAGACTCAGAGAGGAGGGCGATTAGGGTCTTCGACCGAAGCCTTCGGTTCAAACGCCTGTCTTCAAAGCGGCGATGTTTGGCAGCACAAGTAGCTACAGCTGTTCCAACCCCTCATCTGAAGGGCCAGGAGATTTTGTTCGTCGGATCCCCTATAAGAGATTGCAGGTATCGCACAGACACCCCCAGTATAGCTCATTGAGCGACAGAGGCACACAAACGGTTACATTATTGTAAGGCGCTGTCTGTTTTTGATGGATAAAAGTGTGATGAATGTGTATAAGATGTGGAAAAGCTGAGTTCGTCCTCCATGTTTCAAGATGCGCAACCACGCTTGGCCTCTGTCTGGACAAGGATAGCCCATTGCAACTGTACATAGAGTACGGACGTTAAAAGTCCCTATGTTAAATCCCATGGATTAAGCAGCTTTATTTTATTGGTTGTTAATTTGCAACAGATATTAACATTTAAATGACCCATCGACGTTTGCTTGCATGGTGGGCAGGAGTTGCTGAGGTACCTTCTGACCTTCTGGGCTGCAGAGAACTGGTCTAGCCCTAGGAGATATAGAATAAGATATAGGTCTCTTGTTCCTGGTGCTGTCACGCACAGCAATTGGCGCACTGGGCTTATAGAGAGGCTTGTGTTCCTCAGTCTTATTGGACAATTTGCGGTCAACTATAGGACGATAGGAGTGTGCAGGTTTCGGGGCCGACTCCTGATTCGTCTTTTCTCGAGGGAAGCAGCATCACTGCTTCTAAGAATATGGACATACTGGTCACCCGATGGAACACCGTACTGTCCTCGCATTCCGATCGCTGAGGGTAGTACGGCTTTACCCCAAAACCGCCTTGCAACTCGGTTACTCAGTACAGATTTTGCTGCACCTAATCTGCATGCTCCCCTTTGGCTTTTCTGGCATTTTCCCCTTGAAACTATCATCATAGCACCCAAGCTCAACCAGCCTGTCAAGGTGACGTTAGGGCTGTCTGCGTTGGTAGTAGTTAACAAGCAAATCCCAAAGGCCGGCCGAATTTTAGGGATGCATACATCTCGGATGTTTGTCGCAATTTAGTACCATACCTGGAACACTTTTTGGCTCCTTCCGGGACCGCGTATGGTGCAGAACAATCACCTGGAAACTGAGAAACTGAGAGATCCGGATGTTAGATATTTACCAGAGTTGGTCCACGGGACGAGATCGCCACCTCTTTGCACAGTGCTGAGAATTTCGCCTGTGGCACGGCTCTACCACTCAAGCACTGGATATCAGACCGAACACTGACACTACTTAAATCTCGAAGAAATATCCCAAAATGTCCCGAACATAGCTTGACGCGACGAATTATTATACGTCAAGTGAGTGAGCGCGGGAGCCGACCGTGAAGTACGTTGAACTCAAAGCCAAAGGAACAGAAAAGACCCAGAAAGCCGGTAATGCCCGAATATTATCTCAGTTTATGTGCGTGATCGGTCCCCGAGGGCCTCATGTGAGCGAAACCACAGAGTCAGAATGGATTGATCGTTTTGAATAAAGAACGCCCGGATCAGAGGGCCGAGTACTTTGAACGTCAACTATCGTGGCCACTAGCTGCCACTCATCTGGAGCCCACAGTTGGTGGTGAACGTGGAACGCCTACGGCAGGGCCGAGTACTTTGAACGTCAACTATCGTGGCCACTAGCTGCCACTCATCTGGAGCCCACAGTTGGTGGTGAACGTGGAACCGCCTACGGCCTCGGAGGTTCATGACAGCATATGTTTTCTCAAGCGCCACCGAGCTTCTGGTCCGGGTGACCTCCCACCCGCGCTGTTCAAAGATGGCGGTGCAGTTCTCAGTTAGTGCCTTCGTTTGGAAAGAGTAGCTCGTAGTGTATGGTAACCACAGGGGGACCCGCGTGACCCCGATTGACCACTGGCGTCACTTGTGGCTCGTCGCCTTATGGTGGCTCGTAAAGCAGCAAACGGGATTCCGTCCTGGTAGTTGACCAAATCCATTCCGTTGACCAGATCTTCACACTCCGCTAGGTGCTAGAGCAACACTATACGTATAAGCCACCCACAATTCTAGCCTTCCTGGATTTTCAAAGCGCATTCGACTAGGTTGACCGGTCTGTTCTGCTTGACATGCTTGTCTACGAAGGAAAAATAATAAGCTCTTTGTATTCTCAGACTTTCGGATGTATGAGGGTATATGGGAAGCTCTCGAAGAGCTTCCGTACACAAAGTGGTGTCCGTCAGGGATACCCACTCTCCATTCTTATTCAACTTCGTGATCGATGAGGTCATGAGACGAACGCTGGAAGGACTCCGAAACCCCGGTGTTCAAATAGCCTGTGACGAAAACCTTGTCGATCTGGAATATGCAGACCACATCGTTCTAGTCTTTGAAGATGAGGAAAAGATGCAGGTGTTTTTTGATGAACTGGCCAGAAGAACGGGATGTCCTTTGGTATGCACTTTGCACTCACAGTGACAGATAATGCTCCTGGACATACAGTCATGAACTTACAATCCAGGGAGGGGCACTGGAAGTTGTGTAGCGTTGTACATATCTTGGAGGTTGTATTAGTTCTTATTCTAGTGCGACAGATGAAGTCAGCGCTCGAATCTGCAAGGCCCGGGTCTCGTTTGCTAATTTGAGACAGCCATGGCGTCAAAGTTGTGTATCCCTGAATCTCAAGGAACGTGCGTATCAAGCTACAGTGCAGGCTGTTTTGTTGTATGGTTGTGAGACTTGGCCTTTCCGAGCAGCGAAACTGAGACATCCTCAGGTGTTCGACACTCGTTGTCTCAGGACCATAGCTCGTGTGGTTTGGTGTTGGCGACTCCGTAACGAGGCACTTGGAAAGCGACTTTACGGTTGTGTAACGGGAACTTCCATTGAAGAATTTGTCTAGCACCAGAACCTTTGTTGGTTAGGCCATTTATTGCGTATGCCGAACCATCGTTTGCTCCTGAGAGTGCTGTTTTCCGTGCCCATTTCATAATGGCGGAACCAGAGGGACAGCCATCCCTTTACCTGGCAGATGGCTATGAAACGTTTTCTGCATTCACTCGTCTCTTGGAGTTTTTCGAACCGATGGGTTTGTTTTACCCAGTTACGATCACTCAATCCCACATCATACACCCCCACATACCTAAGTGACCCCAGATAGTATACAGCGTATACAACACGATTGTCAACCTGAATCCAATTGCCTTGAGCGCTTTGCATCAGTTCTGGTGATTTATTTTGATGGGAAAGATTTCGGTGGCCCTCAGTCAGCGGTTGACCACCAACTCAGCGTACCCAGCTTTTCATGTTTATACTTCCTTCAAATGAGGATTTTGTATGACTTTTTTCAGGATCAACTTCAGGTAAGAAAATTACATCGCGCATGAGAAAACTGCGTGCATCATGTACGTATCCCGAAATTATACAATTAGGCGTTTTTTCTGTCTAGTTTTCTGTTCTTTATTGTCCTATTTTGTTTTCAGGCTCCCTTGTTAAAGTCATCCTTTTGTGACAACTGATTATGGGAACCGATCAATTCACCTCTCCTTCGGGAGGGGATGGAATGCTTCAGTAAGTCATCCAAAAAGATTACTTTGCCGGTACGAACTCCTCCCTCAGTTTAAGGTGTATATGATGGTGGGTGATGAACAGCTGTCACTTGCGTGGTCTATAGGGAAATTGAGTGATTCATCACTTGTTGTCTGTTTGGGTTGCAGCGTTATCCGTATGTCTTGTTCGCTCTATCATATCTGTTTTTCATACAGGGTATTATATTTTGTATTGGACCGCATCTTACTGCACTATTTCTTGTGTACATATAGCAATGAACCAGCTCAGTGCTGTGGGCAACTGACTGTGCAGTGTTTGATCACATTTTTGCAGCTGATCAGTTCGTCCTGATTACGTGCAGGTAGGTTAGTCAAGGTGAATGCTGGGTTAGATCAGTAGTTCACACATTAGAGTATCATTGGAATCATGTATTCATGCGAACCAACCACTCAATGGGAGATGCCCATCAGGATGACCGAGGTACTTCCAAATGCGAGATTTCTCTGCTTCATTTCTTCTATATACCCAAATAATAATAATAATAATAATAATAATAATAATAATAATAATAATAATAATAATAATAATAATAATAATAATAATAATAATAATAATAATAATAATAATAATAATAATAATAATAATAATAATAATAATAATAATAATAATAATAATAATAATAATAATAATAATAATAATAATAATAATAATAATAATAATAATAATAATAATAATAATAATAATAATAATAATAATAATAATAATAATAATAATAATAATAATAATAATAATAATAATAATAATAATAATAATAATAATAATAATAATAATAATAATAATAATAATAATAATAATAATAATAATAATAATAATAATAATAATAATAATAATAATAATAATAATAATAATAATAATAATAATAATAATAATAATAATAATAATAATAATAATAATAATAATAATAATAATAATAATAATAATAATAATAATAATAATAATAATAATAATAATAATAATAATAATAATAATAATAATAATAATAATAAAGGCTCATCGACTGTCTTAGACACCGCAAAGATGTAAGAAATGAATCGATTAATTTTTCGACGGAACCACCAGGGAATACCGCTTTATAAGGCTGTTGTGCTTGCGATATGTTTAGTGGTAAGTCTGTGCCGCATGGCTATATACCCTCAGAAAACCTGGTATTCTCAACTAGCATTGAGCACAAGTATGATTAAAAATATCGATGTCTTCGATACGGTTCGCTCAGTGGGTTAAGAATTCCAGCTGAATGGATCGCCTTCGTGGGTTCCATCGTCCGTTCTTTGGTTTCATGCATAACAATGATTACAGGTTTTATAAAGGGAACCCACAAATCGGTCAGTAGTGTCTGTAAAATCAGGTTATCCAATTACACACCTTCACTCCGCCACCTTCTTTTACACTTGCCAAATATTGCAGTGTTTCAGATCTGGGTACCGAGGATCTGGTGGTGATTCCATTGTTTACTTGCTGTATCCTACCATATCACGGCTTTCTACCTGACCTAAAAATCATGGATCAGAAATCATTTGATCCACAGCTGCTTTGTTATTTCTTTCATTGACGGATCACCTCGATTCATTTCAAACTGAGGATAGATTCCTGTTTCTTATTTCTCGCGATCTCTACTAACACCGTCTTCATCGCCCCCCATGCGTAAGAAATAACTGCGCATCGCCCGGGTTTGAATGAGCCTTGGAAACTCAGGAATACACTGTGTTGCGTAGTAGCAGGTGAATGTCTCCGCTCAAGTTATACCGAACCTAGGCAAGAATGCCTTGCACTTGAGTCCTATCCTGTAATCGCATGCGCACTAACACGCACGTCACATTTAGGTTTGGATCATTCTTGTTTATGAAAACTGTCTTATTTGACTGCTGTTCTTGCTCCAGTGCCTTAGTGCCTGAAAAATACTCACCGACGAAGAACACAACAGCTTTATGACAGCAAGTGAGGTCAAAAGTCATAACAGCCTCGCGCTATTTAAAGGGCATTTTTTGACATCAGTCCAGGTTGTCTGATAGGCGTTTAGTGAACACCCATCAACATCGACCGTACTTCTATGGAATGTCTTGTCATAGTCAGTCATGCTTCTATGACGTATCTGAACACTCTTCGACTTTTGCTGAATTGATTAAGTGATTGACTGGCCTAGATGCTTACCAGCTAGTAGATTTTCAGGATCCTAGTGGGTCCCGGGCATTCTGAGGTTTCTTTCAAGAATCTGAACTTCCTGATAAAAACGCACCATTTTATAATACCTAATAACACCGTCAGGAGACATATCGAGTCATTTAGAAGCTTGCACATTGGTTCCTCGGTGTCTTTAAAATTATTTGTATCAATACGCGAATTCATCAGTGGCTTTTCATCCCCAAATCAACAGCAAGTTTGTGGGTCTGGATAAATGGCATGGCATATTAGGCCGTAGCTACCGTACAATTAGCAGGGCCTTTGAGGTGGGTTTGTCAACTCGTAGATGATACAGACAGACCCGAATTTACGGTCGGTTGTGGATGTTCCCAGTTCAAACAGTTTCATTACGCTTAATGTAGCACTCAAATGGCTTACTTATGTTGCATTTATCTGCATCGTCGCTGCACTGAAAGTACTCTTTTGCCTGATAATTCAGAATAAGGGTGACAGTCATCTGGTCGTGAATTTTTTCTAGCAGTAAATAAACCTCGTTCCATTGTACGTAGCGCGAGTACAGCTATATACATGCTTTGCAGTTTCAACTCTCGCAGTGCAACAGTGGCAATGGCTTACATTCGAATCAAGTGAGCGAACGTCGAAAGCAGTGTATTGTGGCGAGCAAATGACATGACAAATCCATGCCCTCACCTCGATATTCTCAGGGATGATAACCCGATGAACTGTTAGTTTTCAAAAGGAACTGACGAGATACCCTGGCGGAATCAAACAGTTGGACTAACATGATGAAGACGAAAACGGCGCTGGGAGCCGGTCACATATGTGTCTGAGGAAGCCCGAGATTTGGAGATGGTATCAACACGATGCCATCACGAGTGAAATTCGCGGTATCACAAACGTGGGACGAATCGACGGTTGAAGTATTCACTACACCATCCGAATTGACGATCGCAGTTTATATATGGCACTTAAAACGTGGGCACTTTTTGGTTACCGTGAGATCCACCGGACATAGCATATTTACATGGGTGCATAAGGGTACTGACCCTAGCTAGATTGTACAAACGAACAAATGAAGGAGCTAAGAGTTCGTGAAGCTGTCTTTTCCAAATTTTCGCAGATCATTCAAAGTGAATCGCTTTGACGGTTGTCATACACGATCATTTTGTTGCCAATGGGATAATATTTCAACAGCTTGTAATGCATTGTTGTTGTACAATGCGTGGAGTGCCTATAAATGCTTTGCAGTACGGAACTGGCACTCACGACGGCAGAATGGCCGGTTAATCTCAGTGGCCACTGTCGTTTGCGTCAATATTTGCTTAACAAGTCTGGAGAGGAAAATCTTGGATTAAGTGTGACCCTCTTCGGTTGAATTTCGATTTCCTGAGGAATTACAGAACGCAGGTCAAGACTCTCCTTGACTTACGTGGTTGAGTAGCACGTAGGTGGGCAGACACTGTAAAAACAATAAAAATACCTATTTGGTAGTTTTCCACCTACATGCCGATACTTCAATCGTATTTCTGGATCTTATTATGACGTGAAGTTTATCCGAAGCGGTCAACCGAATCTGGAGGGAATTAGCGACAATACATTGTGGAATTCTACAGTAGACATAAGTGCGAGCTTTAATTTGTTGAGGGGTTTTACTCGTATTCTAGTTTGGTTGCTTTTTCTTGATGTGTTTACGGGTTGACGGTTATTAAGTTTATTGATTGAATTTCTCTAGTATTTGTATGATCCTCGTTCAGTGGTGGATATGGGGAAGAAGCCAATGTCCTGTGCTTGTTTATCAAATATCTTCCCATGTGTATTTATTGTGGAGCATTCAGGTTATTCTTATTTTGTCTCCTATTTGTTACTATTGAGAACACATTCGAATATTGTATTGGAAATTAATCAAATCAGGAGCGGATGATGGACCTACCTTACCTACATTGTAAGTGCTATTGCTGGCAGCTGTCTTAATGACCGTTGTTAACTTTAGGTACTGGTAATCAATCGAATAGGATGCATTATGGTATTTGATACGCAAATCAAGAAAAAAACTTGGCTCGTCATTAACCTGTTTGTAGACGACGTTTGGAGCCGCAAGACCCCAAAAGCTTCAGAATGTGCGATTAGCCGAATATTATGAATGACACTAAATAGACAAGACAGTTGTAACCTTCATAGTGTTGCATTGCGTGAATTGCTGCGTCCTCTGACCTGGCGAAGTGAATTGGTGTGCATCTTTCACACAAACAGGAAAAGACGTGCATTTCCTAACAGTAGCCATCGTTCTCCGATGGGCTAGCCTTCGATCGTTACAGAACAAGAATTTGAAAGCAAAACTTTGTAGAATCTACTGTGAAGAATATTCTGCGGCTTTGGACTTTACACTCATAAGCTTGAATGGGGTAAGCACACGACCGTCTGAACGTAGACCTCAATTTGATAAGAATGTTGCTGACTAGGTGTAAGTTGATGTGGTTAGGTTCCATTAAGATACGAACAATGACGCATAGATAGTATTTCCCACTTCAACCGTTTGACATGCGGTACTCATGGGCTGGTGTTGTTGCTTTAATTTCCTCATAAAATTGAATGTGTTACTTTTCACATACTTTTCTGGGCTCATCCTAAAGCACTTCTAAATTTTCCTATGAAACACGTGTGCGTGGTTTGTGCTATGTACGGCACACAGGATGTACTAGTTTTTTGTACGTTGGACCGAAATGACCATCTATGGACGAGGAATTAGGCTGATTTCAAACATCGTGACAAAATAACATCCACGTAGATTCGCTTTCCAAATCCCGAAACATCTACAACAACAATGGTGTGCTGCATTTATAGGCAGCGACACTTCTTCAGCAGAGCAATGAGTAATGATTCCTTCACTAATATCCGTTCGCTCATGACCGCTGCCTTATGTGGAGGCGTTTCATTTCCAAGTTGCCCATCTGCACCCATTCTTCCAAAGTTTAGTTAGCACAGATGACTCGATCAATTAACGGCAGTTTTAATAAGTGCTCGATCCGTTTAACAAATAGAAGTTGAGATGGTAGTTAGAAGTCAGGTAGATCAGTGAATTCGCGATTAGATTTAGTTGATTCTGGCCACTGAAACACAAACATCCCTGTAACATGCAGAGGATGTAGTCTACCCACAAAATTGATAGAGTGTGACCAGAGAGTAGGTAAATCCTCCTAAAGCCATCTGGCGCACCTCTCCACATCGCATATCCGCCTTTTCCACAGCATTCGAGTACTTCTTCAGGGTCACTGATTACGAAACCACTGACCACATTTTCGTTCACACACACCACACGAGTATATGCTCCACTCTTGATTTGTTTCACGGCAACTATAGACTTTGGGCACTAGTTAGAGTTCTCTGTCCGCTGTGGTTCTGGAAGTTGCCAAGGTAGACGAGTTGGACAGGTAGTTTGACAGATTAATCTGCGCAAAAGAGGTTTTAGTTCAATCGCACCAAGTTGCAGGTATACTTTGGATTCTGCACCTTAGGATCAAACAAAAGCCGGTGTGTCGAAAGCCCTTAGGTCATTTGTATCCAGCCCTACGTGTGCAGAAAGCGAAAAGCGATTGTCACGAGCCCTCAGAAATTCACTGATGTTTTCAGCTTCACTCCAGAAAAGCAAACAGTCATTTGGTTCTGTACGATAATCTAGTTCTCGTTTTTTGAAGTCCTATTATTTTTAGATTTAAAGCATCTTCCACAACGTCACTAACTTGTCATTTGCTTGATAAATGTACGACCCCATTCCCGCGCTTCGTTGTGTCAATAAGCGACAAGTTTACATTAACACTTTGAAATGGTGAGAATTGGGGGCGTTTCTACTGACGAAGGGGCATTGCGCGGTCCAAGCGAGCCATGCATATGGACACCCAATAATTATCCCAGTTTATTGTTCAGTCGGTTTCAAGATCAATAGCCACCAATATTGGCCTTCTACCCCTGATTTGCTAACTTTGTTAAGTTTCTCGTAAATAATTATGGCATTTGTACAAACAAAACACTTTTCCAGCAGAATTTTATACGTATCAAGCTATAAATCTATATTTGGCCAAAACTTACTTATTTTATCCGATGCATTCTCGAAAAGGTCAGTCACTGTGGGCGTTTTACTTGCAGACTTTGAAGTTAATTTTATTCAGTTAGTGAAACATTCATTTGCAAATTACTTTGGTGCTAACGGTTGACTCAGCTGAATTTCTCGCTTATGTTATTCTTCAGGTCAATCTCCTGTTAGCACCGTAGTCATTTTTACCTAAATTGATTGCGCCAGATGCACCCAAGTTAATGTCCAACTGGAACATTAAGTTAATGAGAACTTGAGGCCTGCTCCTCAAGAAGGGCGAAACCATTAGTAGACTGTCGGGGTGAGGATTATGGGTTTCAGCATCCCTGTGTAGTGTATTGTTTCAAGAAAATACCTTTACTCAACTTGTTAACTGCAGACGAGGGAGCGGAACCTGCATGCCGACGATTCAAGACGTGGTTTGTTTTGATTCCAATCGTTTGCAGATAAGGTAGTCCAGGTTCCCGATTCCGTGTATATAAATCAAGTGAAGCAACTACGCTTCACTCCACAAGCCTTCCTATGAAGTCTCTCGTCACATGTAAACACTGCGAATTCGTGTGTGGAAAGGCCCTTGAAATTTAACCACAGTGTCATTAAGTGCGTGAAGGGCAATAGGATGAGCCCAGCTGATTCCACTTGATGCACATGTGTGACTCTGAATCGCACTCCTGCTTGCTTTATTCAAATGAATGTGTCTACTGACCGAATCTCAGTTTTTCTCCAGATCACCGCGTATCTTGCTGCTAGCTAGGTCGCTTAATCATCACAATTATTACCCACTCCCCGTTTCCGCAGTGGGATTGTGAACCAAACAATAGTACCCCCGATTAGGATCACCGTGAATTGGAGACCTCATGTGATTAAAGTTTTCACAACTGCAGAACGTCTTCCACGGTTACTCCCCGCGTAGTTTGCAAGTCTTCGGATTGATACCTTTTGGATGCTCCTTAAGCATTGGCGAGGAATCCACCTGGTTGTTTGTCGGAGACAACGCAACAGCCACCAGATGACTACTGCCGAGTGAGGACTGGTCAGAGCGGTAGGCAGCGTTCCAAGGAAAACACGAAGAGGGTAATGTATTCCATCAAGAAAAGGTGGCCTACTCCAGGAACACAGACTAACAGCAAACCGATAGGTAGTTCGTGGCCTCTGCAGCAGCCTCAACAGCAAACACACCAAAAATTTCCGATATAGAGAGGCTTCAAAGAAGTCGTGTACGCGTCGATCGGCTTATGTGAACCGTCATAAATAGGGAAAAGTTCGTCCAGCTTCCAAACCCAGGTAAATCATCGACCAAAAGAGCGCACACGAGCGATTATGAGCTGCGTTACTGTCCCAAGCCCAGACGCTATGTCAACGGCTGCATGGGTTATTTGGAACCAGTGCATACTGAACTTTAGTTCAGTATACTGGTTTCTTGACACGGTGGCATCGCCAGGATTGCATGGATGAGGCTCTCCTGGCCTGTGGCATTCAGCGATTAGGTTTCTTTCACTCCATTGATGGCTGGGGTGTTTGTTTGGAGGAGGTCAAACAAAGTGACCAACTCCGCAACAAACGCAACATGGCTGGTGTTTCTGCCCTGACTGGTCTCTTCGGGATTTTCGAATTTGTAGTGAATTTCAGACACCCGGTTCCTTCCACCACCTGCTGTTTTTTTTCATTTTCGAATCGCTGCACTGTAATGCAAGTCACATCTGCAAGACCCTCCTTCAACTCCACCCCGACAACGAGACATCTCGTCCAAGGCCATGTTAGTCGGAATTTCTTTCATGAACGGCATCTCTGAGCCTATAGACGTTGCAATAAGCTGTTGAAAATCATGAGCAAAGAGATCCAAACTGCCGTTCGTCGATCTATCCCCAGTGGACTTACAGAGCATCCTTTCTCCTAAGCGGGCTTCTCTTGTATTTCAAGCGTTAGCAGCCTTACGGTCTGCTTGACATTCCCTCCTAGATAATGCTCTGATAACTATCGATCTTGGCTTCATTCTGTTTTTTTTATCGCGGCTTTCTGTTTGTCGTGATTGTGACATACGTTTATTATACATACAAATGCTTCCAACCACTTCGCTGTGACTAAGATCGTGCATGACTTGATACTCGCATTGCTTACGTGGTCGAGTTAATAATAATAATAATAATAATAATAATAATAATAATAATAATAATAATAATACGTCTTATATGAAGCCATTGCGGCAGGGATGTTCTTTTGTTTCGCAGTGTTGGCCAGGTAAAATCATATGCTCACTGTAAGCTCTGTTCACCCAAAGCCCCAGTAACTCCTCGGCTGGTGACATCCAAATTTCTTCTCCGTATTGTTCGCGCTTCGGACCACTCAGTCACCTCTGCCTGAATAATTTACAAATCTTAGAGCTTCTGTATAACTTTATTTTTTCTCGTTCAGTGCTGCGCAGCATGCGCAACATACAGTGCACACACCGGATGCGCCCACAAAAGCCGATTTTTTCACAGTCGAACTCAATCATTCTCAATGGGTCGTTCCTACACGATATTCTGACCTCCAGGCAATTGGATCGGGAGCCTACGGTTCTGTTTGGTGAGTTGGATCGGACTTCCGTTTCATGGTCTTATATCGCTTGATTCTTATCAAATTCATTTTCGCCACATTATGGATTCTCATTCTTCCTGGGGTACACTAGTAAAAAAGTAATCACTCGTCCAGTTATGACACCCTCTGTGCATAGGTTCTATTTAACTCAGAAGAAGCATGAGGACCCGAATACAGTTAGTTTGCTCAAGGGATCCTAGGAAAAGTGGAAAGGTCAGGGTTGTATTCAAACCAGGATATTGCGGTGAGCAGGTTCTCACTGACTAATGAGCTACCTTGAGCTATGGATACACTGTCCGTGTATCCGCATGAAAATGTCCATAGTCGTACCTTCAGTTGACGGTTAGTTGTCTATTTTTTTTGCCTGTACTGCCTTGCGTAAACTACTTCTGACATTTAGGAAGTCAATTATCGCTATTCCTGTCTCACGTCCCATGGTAACTGCCATGGCACTACGAAACCTGGCCTGATAAGCGTGCGGATTTTGTCACATGGAGATCACGCATTGAACCTGTGATGAATAATTTTGTTAGCATGCGTCTGTCGGTCTGGTCCTGACGTTATACTGAAATGTAGAATACAGGAAAGTGTTGTCAGATTCTTGGAGAAATGTGTGAAGACATCCACCCTTCGAAACAACGAATTTCAGAGGGAGTGAAAAAGCAAAAACCAAATTTTGGCCCAATAAGTATCGCCGATGCACAACTGTTTTCACTCTGTCCGAAACCTTTCTAGAATAGTCACTGTTCCATTTCTCCTGTTGTAGCCATTCTCATAATGTTTGATTAAGTTCTTTGTCTATCACTTTTACGCCACCCCCTAACCAATTTTTTTTAAAATTACTCACTCTATGCTCTCTGCTACGTTGCTGTGAGGGCAATTGTACTGAAAAGCTTTTATCATCCGACTGATTTATGACTAGGGTGTCACGGCTGTGTGAGGCTCTTTGTGTTACCTCCTTTTTGCTGTCTCTGAGGTTCAGCCATACAAAGCATATGTCAATGCCGGAGTGTGTGGGTTTTAGGGCGGGCCTTTTATAACTTTTTTCGAGAGAAAGCAGCATCATTGCTTCCATTAATATGGACATGCTGGTTGCCTGAAGGCAGCACCTTACCGCCTTTGTACTCCCGCCGTAGCGGAGATTGCGACTTTACCGCAAAACCACCTAGTAGCACGGTTGCTCGTAATACGGTATCTCATTTGTCTTATTCTGACTTTTGGCCCTATTGATTGCAACCCTCGGAACGAAGTTGCAGACACTGCAGCCTATGGCATGGCTGAAAACTATGTACATCTGTACCTTGTGTGTTCCATTCTTTCTGTGATTCTGTTCCATTTCTTGCACAGAACACTTAAACTGACTTCGGTCACATTTTATCCTTTGTTTTTCCTCGGTTGGACCTATTGTTCCATCCGATTTCAGCTCCGCCTTTGATACTCAACTCCATCGACGAGTGGCCATCAAAAAATTGACAAAACCTTTTCTTGCACAGGAGTATGCCAAGCGAAGCTATCGGGAATTACGCATTCTGGCTCATATGAACCACGAAAATGTAAGCGCTGAATTTGCGTTTTCTTCGTTCCCTTAATTAGTATATCCGCCAGAGCACATTTTCTTTCTCGTTGTCCAAATTCGTTTTGATCTAATAGCCACCAGTTGGCGAAAGTCCCTGACCTTCATCAGAAAAGAGCCCGAACAGGATCCTTACAATCCGTATGTTGGCATTTTCAAGTTCTGAACTAGTTGGAAGCACAAAAACAAAACATGTGTTCGGTAGTTCCACTAAGCATAGTGGCGGCTACGGTAATACGGTTTCGGTTCCTGTAGAACAATGCTTATGTTCGTGATGTCGTTGACTAATGAATGCAATCAAAAGTGACCCACCTTCAGATGCAGCGCGCGAAATGGATGCTCCACTACTCTGTTTTACGGCAATAAGTTTTGCAAGATGACTTTTTCAGCTAACTCACCTAGAACCTGAGGGGTGTTCAAACAGGTCGAGGTCCCTAAATGATCACTTTTGCATACGTGGGTAGGTAGACAGTCGAAAATGCCTAATTGGTTCATTGGGCCGAGGTTCTCAACTTTCATCCTTATCGACTCGTGTCTAATACCATCCGTCCATGAAAGTTTAGCACCCCACAAATGTTGGCCTGTAGTGTTTATCCGAACTTTGGCGGAAGAAAATTGAGGTAAGCACAAGTTAGTCTCGCTCCAGTCACTAAACGGATGACTGCAGTTGGGTCAAACGAAAGGAAGAATACTAAATTTCTGTAGAGCGGAAGAAGTACTGGAGGTTGTGGAAGGTCTTACATATCTCGGTGGATGCAAAACTTCTGACGAGGTATCGATCACATCAGTCAGCTTGCGTCTTTTGTAGGGTCCACGAATGGCGTAGATGTACGAACTGTATTCATGGTTGCCAGAATGTATGCCGGGACAGGGTATCTGAGACATCATACATAGCTGCACGCTCCCCTAATTGTTCATTTCCCTTTATGCTGTACAGCATATGAATATCTCACCGTCGGCCTAATAAACTTCGAAAAGCCGGACGACCAGAAGCCACTACTGAGCGTGCCTAATTGAATTACGCAATAAACCTCCCTGGCGGGGCTCATTTTCCATCTGCGTCTCCCTACATCTGCACTGTCCCTTGTCTTTCTCCCCTTCATATTGCCCTACTGTGTTGTGACGCAACGTATCTGACTTGTACGGTCGATCGTTTCACTGTACCTGGTCAGGAAACAGTCACATTTGACCACCGATGTTTCACTGTCACCTATTAATGTTGCATGCTGTCAACGGTGCAACCAAAACAGGGGTCTTTGTTTATCTAGAAGATACCTCGATCGTGGAAGGCATCCAACGCCGTTAACTTCGATGGCTCAGTCATGTAGTAGACATGCCAAATCATTGTCTATCGAGACGAGTGTCCGTCTCAGCATGCCTTCACTATGGCATGAACTGCAAGCTGTTCAACATTTGACTCATATAAGTGGTCTTACGAAATGTGTAGGTGCTGTTGGCGCAGTCCGTCCTCCGGAATGGAGTCCCGGTGATCTTGTCTGCGCCTGTTTGGAGATATTGCAAGATACAGCGACTAACCGATTCGAAGGACGTTTAGTCCACCATTTTTCATCCAGATTGCCTGAGTTGGCATTCCGAGATGTGTGCACTCTAAACCGAACACGGTGGGCCACCACTGGGCGCTTTCTCTGTCCAATCTTTCCTTCCGAATTCTGGGCTTTTTAAAATAAGTTCTACAGTAAGTGAAAATTCGGTGTCAACGCGGTGACAGGCTTCATCATTGATGATTGATTTGGTGATTACACTGGAGCATCAATTTTAAAAGCGTATGGTGCAGGCAAACACATGATCAATCATCATGCTTTCACAAACCAGCCGCTTATTCTGTTTTCAGTCCGACGATGCTGTTTTATCCTTGTGTATGTTCACAAGCCTGAGCACGACAAAAATAAGTGGTTTCATGCTTTTGTTCATTTTTTCTTATTCTTCCTTTTTTCTCTCAAAGATACGGATGTTGCTGTTTCAAGAAGGATATGTATTGGGCTTATTCATTTGCATTAATTTACGCCTACTATCCCCCCAAATCACCATTCTCTGTTTAGTATGGTCTCAGCCGTATCCGCTGCAAACTAAAATGAAAGTGTTTTTGTACGTGCGCACATGTTCGAATGTGGGGAGCGGAAAATTTGCGGCAAATACACCACTGTTCGCAGAGGATGCGAAGTACCTTTCTATGCAAATACTAGCTAGTTACTGAGACTGTTGCGCAGGATTTGTCAATCCAGCTGTATACGAGTGATGAATCGTATGAATGATGTTCATTGCACATGTCTTTGTGATTTCCGTTTGTTTTGCAGTGAAGACGCAACACAAAAGAAATGTTTCAACTTTGCTTTGCGTGTGAGTAGACAACTGTTATGCCTAACCTCGTTCTTGACCTATTTGTGGCATGCGGTTAAAACCAAGGCTACTTGGGGTCGCTAATAACAAAAGGTGTGGCTGACGACGGAATGCAATCAACTGCTGATTTTATCAGATGGGCGTAGCCTGGTTGGTCGCGTCGCCCCTAATTAACACTTCTTACCATTCGCCACATGGTTATACATGATCTACCCTAGGACATTACTCTAGTTATTGGTTCCCCTGCTCTCAAATGCACTTATTGGCCCTGTGGTGGATGAAACATTCGACATGTCTTGCTACATCCATTTAATAAATCCTACTCGCGTAGAAACTCATGGGACATTTGTTTTCAGTACAAATCACACTGCCTTCACATCCGTATCACTTTCGGTGTTAAAACGCATGACGAATTGATCTGAAGGCTCGAGTTTATCAGAGCACAATATGGTCTGTTTGGTAGGTTAGTAGAGAACTAATATATGCAGGTCAAAGATGAGGCAACCGCAGGTTTTGACGACTGATGCGTACAACAAAAGTTCCTGTCAGTAGACGCGGTCAGGTGTGTGGATAGGTGATCAGAATCCAGTGTATCGATAAGGTACTAGATGGCACATTTGATGAATGTAATATATAATATCTATCTTTTCAACTAAGCCCGTTTCACTGAAGTTCTGCCTAGTTCGGGTAGACCAGTCCCAGATTACAAGTCCTCCCGATGCACAAGCTCCTTTACGGGGTTGGGATACAACTAATGTACTGAATGTCCTACTGTTTACGTCATCAGCTGAGTGGGTTATCGGGACATTGTTTTTATCCGAATCACTTTATAGAGAAATCAGAAAGAGCACTGAGTTTTCAATAGCCAAATGCAATACCGTCTATGAAGTGCTTGATTGTATGTGCTATCCCCTAGAACCGACCAGCATGGGGAAATCCAACATCGTGTTCACCGTGAACGTCTAATGGTAAAGCTGATATTTAGGGTGTCCACACATCTTGTCATAATACTTACGGGTAACTAAAAAAATATGCAAAGAAATATATAGGCCTGTGATTGATTGTGACCATGAATATTGTGTACATAAAATCTGCACAGCTTTAACCGTGTGGTGAAACCCTCATCTGCGATTCTCGCAAGACTCAACTAAATCTCTCGCTTGTATCGTTCTTCCCTTTTTTACTTCTCAAGTCCCGTTGCGTTTCGCGAGTGAAGTGAATCCAAGTGGTGCCTTTTATTGTACAGTACCCCCACCTATTTTGCATCTTTCCTTCGTTCCAGCTGCTCTGCTTGGTTGACGCATTCTCTCCGCAAGATAGCTTGGAGACCTTCAGTGACTTGTAAGTTCTGTTGTCTGATTTCAGTGGGTCTATAGTTCACTCAGACTGCAGCCACCACGGCGTGACTGGAAAGTATGAGAACTCTAAGCGTCAGACAACAGCTCTGAAAACGGCTGTTTTATTTTGTTAAACAGCCCAGTAGTAACGTGTAGTTGGTTAAAACCCGCTGACTTATCCAAGTGATCAATATTTACTTGTCAGGTTCAACTACCCCGGAGTCACATTCTGCCACGGTACTCGGCCTTTGTGTTCTCAGCTCTTTTCCTTCCCATGACTGCTGTTTGTGGCTACTGCGCGATTTTTTGGGAAGCTGCTTCAGTTCACCAGCTTGGCAGTCCACTTAGACTGATTACATGACATATTCGCCTCTGTTCAGTGTTTCGTTTTTCCAACCAAGGGATCTACTCACGCCCATTATCAGGTTCAATCTCACACATGGAAGTAATGTATTTCTCACTCATCTGTGATTAGCCATTCTTCTCCTAAAGAGTAGATTGTTTTGGTTCCTTGGGCCATCAGTTAGACATGGTCATGTTCTTAGAACTGCCTTCAGCCATTCCCTTTACTATCCAAATCCGTGGAACCTACACGAGGCGCGCTCAGCTGATTGCACGCAAGACTCAATGTGCAGAGCCACCAACGTATTTCGATTTGACAGGAAAGGAATGCCAGCATTCTATGTCCCTGAGTGCACCGTCCGTACGCCTGATGTATACGGCTTATGATGATCATGTACTGAAAAGAACGAAATATACACCCTGGCAATGCAGTATGGATGTCTTATTTTCTTACTTTCGAATTACTTCAAGAATCGCATCTAGTGTGGTCACACGATACGCATAAAAATAGTTGTGAATGTCTGTCGGATTTTTTAAAAATTGATTTAGGTTTCCGCCACATAGCTGTGGGAAGGACTGTAATATAACACAAAAGAGCGTTTGGACATCCGAGTTATTGTGAGCAGGACGAGGCAAGGCCTGGCTCCTCTGACAGCATTTGATGGAACCTAAAACGAACCTAAAGCCATTCGAACATATTTCTCCATCACTCACTAAACTTGATATTGATAAGCTGAGGAAACTGTCCGCCTATCAGTCACAAACCGAATAAAATGAGTGGGCATACTGACCAAGCATGGAAGGTTTCCGAAGCATTTCAGGAACAGTACTCCTCTTATACTGTGACAGTTTGACTAGGATTGCACGGGTGCGTGTTTATTCGAGTCTTTCAAATACGACTGCATCTCTAGTAAAGACGAATTCGCTTGTGTTTTCCAAGTTATAGTTGAGTGGAATAACTACGACTGGTCTGATGAAAATCTGGACAGGGATGTACTTAACATAGTTACTTGAGTCTCACAGTTTAGTTCGATTATCTGTGTGGGCATGAGCCGGCTTCTTGGAAGCTTCGAATCGCAGCCGTCCAAGCGCATATATGCGTCCATTGTTGCTTCCAGGGACAATGTTCATAGGAATCCAGACGTTCAACAGCGGTCTTACCAATGTTGGTACGCGTTTATAGCTGGCTACCTCGACAACAAACCAGTTTTGGCAGGGTTGAGAAGCGAGATCAACCCTGAGAAGGTGGGTGGCGATAAACGTGCTTTAACATCATAATCAAAGTTGTTGTTGGACTAGCTGCTGAAGTCAGCAGACTTCCTCCTTCGACTCACAGTCTTCGAGACGTGTTCAGAATGCTTTGCAAACATCGATGGTCGAAAGTCTTCACTTTGCGAGTGCCTGATTCAGAGGTTAAGTGCCATTTATTAAACGAAGTGCAATTACTAGAGGAAATTCATCGACTTTAATTTCATTCCGTTTGCAATTGATTCATGGTCCCTACAAAACCGAAAGAACCATGAGCATAGTCCACGAAGACTACTGATAAAACGTCCGTGTTCGACGAAGCGAATTGAGGAATGGTGCTGGCGAAGAAAAACCCTTATTACTTTACAACCGTTAAAATGGTTTGTCATGCTAGTGCATTTGGATCACTCGCATTGAACGACTTTCTGCAACGAGAAACTTTGCTCTCATTGAGTGTTCGCCTCTGTGCATACCACTACAGCTCATCGTTGCAAGTTATTTTTGCTGTTTGTCCTATGGAGTCCATTTACGAGCTGGTTACCCTTGATGCTGAGAGGATAGCCATTCTCCTAAGTTAATGTAAAAGTATCTGAGTATATGAGTTTTGGGTTGGCATTGGATAGGTCTACGAGCATGTGTTGACCAACATCGGTACAACTCGGCGTATTTGCGAAACGATAAAGTATAGGTTATCCGTCGTTCTCTGGTCCACCACCAGCATTGTTAATGCTTTTTCTCGCTCTGCTTTGCATATCCCTTTGGATATGCCAACGAGTCAACCCATTGTTTCTTCAGTTGACCAAGGTGCCATCAAGTTTGAGGGGAACGACGTTACTGTCAGCCGTTTTTTGGTACACACTTTCAAGCTAAACCCAACAAATTCCTCGGTATGTGAGATAATCTGAGTACTTGCCTTGATATATGCCTCCGCCATACCTACTCAGCGGAGCTTATCGACATCTGTATCCCTTTCATTTGAAGATTTGTACTAAACTCATTATGCTGGTATTGGTCATATTCCAGATGTTTCCCCATTTCAGTCTCTCAACCTTAGCAATACTTTACTTTTGGCTCGTAAGACAACCACGAGTTATGAATTTTCTCCCTTTTGCACGGCTTTTCTGTTCGGGTTTGTAAGACTCTCACATTGTATTCTAGGTACTTGGTTACGCCATTCATGCAGATGAATCTGCGGACCGTTATGAGTTCCAACGAACTGTCAGAGGAACACGTTCGCTATCTGGTTTACCAACTATTTTGTGCACTGAAGGTGAGTACTCTCTATTGTCTGCATCCGGTTTGTTCAATTTCCGAGGCAATCGATGTCCGCTTTCTACCACCTCCTACCCCGCAGCCAGGCACACCGTAAACGTAATGCGTCAAGCCGTAGGTTACACTTGCAAGTTTTCCCGCTCCACTTTGCTAAGTCGGTAGTTGTGTAAGTGACTGCTTTTTGGTCCTCTATGTGCGATGACACGGTTCACTTATATTCCTACATCAATCACCGCTGCGTTGCATTCCATGACTCTGATGGTTTCACCTCAATTCGTTCATTTGGAGTTTACCTCAGCACTAGTCCAGCCATGAGTCGTACGATCTAGCGTAGTCCTGTGCTAGCACAGACGTTTCTTGTTTTTGTCCCGTGTGGCACATGGATTAGCGTAAATGGGGTATTGATTACGCCTCCGATATTTTCACTCCCTCGCCACGTAAAAGTAATTTCGACACTGCAGGTGTATACCTAGGGAAATGACAACATTGATTAATTCGCTCACAGCTGCGAAATCCAATCGTACTTTTCAGTCTACATCCGTCATCTTTATTACGGTTTCATAATAGTGAATCTTAGTTAGTTGGCAGTCTCCTCTCGTCCCGCGACTTTATGTATTGCCTAAGGTTCACAAGAAAGATGTTCCGTTGAGGCCGATTTGTGTAATTCACCATATCACGCAACTGCCCAATGGTTGGTCGAGATTTTAGAACCCGCACACCGACATTTATGTCGGTATAGTCTCCGTGACACTTTTGAGTTTGTGGACCTGATAAAAGATGTGGATATTGGTTCCAAATTTATGTGCTCTTTTGATGTAACTTCCCTTTTTACCAACGTCCCACTCTTGGAGACTATGGATTTTATCTGCGATTACATTGACTCATCAGATTTGACACTCCCAGTCCTCACCACCTCATTAAAGGAACTACTCCTTCGCTGTACTTTCAACGTACAATTCCAATTTAATTCCACACTTAACCAACAAATTGATGGAGTCACCATGGGTTCTCCTCTTGGCCCCTTGTTGAGTGACATTTTTATGGGCAAACTGGAGCTTGGTCGACTGAATGGGGAGATTAGACGTGCGCACTTTTATCGGAGGTACGTAGATGATACTTTCATGGTAGTATCAAACCGTTCCTCACCCAGAATATGGTTGTGTATTCTTTATCCTGCTGTTGCTCAGCGGAGTACGTTGGGCGTGTGACACGGCAACTTTCTAATAGAATACGCGAGCACCTCTGTTACCGAAATACCATTAACCTCAACAGTTCAGCCAGAAACTCAATTGCGTCACACCTAATTGACACCGGGCAGGTAGTCATGCCAAATGAGTCATTTCAAGTTATTTACCGTGTACCAAATAGACTTCCAGTATCTTTTCAACGGCGTCGCTTCACTACAGCCGAGGAATTCACTATACGCCTGCGAAACCCGGTACTGTGCTGTCAAAAAGTTTCGTACAAATCGACAACGTCTTTTTACTAATCTGTGTCGGTCACCTTTTGTTTCTCACCAGGGCTAGGTTTAGTCGCGTTGTAATTCGTCATATTTGGTTTCCTTGGCCGAAGTGGTTAGAGCGCGGATTACTAACCTGAAGGTCCGCGGTTCGAATCCGACCTCCGCCACTCGACTTCCCCTGTCTAGGCTTGGGCAACCTGGCAGTATCCCAGCCCTCGTGCTTCCTTCGGGTGGCATGGCAGCTAGGCACCGGAAGGGTGCTACAGCTGAACGCTTTATCTTTATCAATCAACTAGATGCGAAATGAGGGGGGACAGACAGCCAATCGTTCGTATCTCCACGTTTTGAATTTAACTAAGCAATCTTCGGAGCGTATTTCATTTTTCGCTCCTATTTTAACCATTAGATATTTAGTGACCTGATGATCAGATCCCAAAAACATTAATGTTCGTCACTTTTTCAAACCATGGGGATATTTAGGGAATATATATGTATTTATATACTATATTGCTTTGGATTGAAGCCCTTTTCCTTATCTACCTTGGCTGCAAAAGGTTCGCTAATCTGCATCGTCCCTCAGCAAAAAAAAATTGCCGAACTTCCAGCTTAGTTGTATTTTTTATTCTTTTGCTTGATTCTCCTCTTGACTACTTACTGTGTACGTAAGTTTTGGTAAAGTGATGCCAGACGATTTGAAGCCGATAGAAGTTGCAAAACTGGAAAACTGGGAGAAAAGTTTGAACACCCCGATCTAAGCAACTGGGAGTTGTCCGAAGTAATTCAGGCCCATTTTAGTTGGTAGGTAAGAAAGCTGCTACAGGCTGAGTCAAGTGAGTTAACAGGCATCCATATCTACTCTTTCATATCTTCAACGAGAGTGTAGCGGTTTTTCTGCGTAGATCCGTAGTAGATCCGTGCAGTGGGAACTGTACTACCCCCGACCGTCCACGGGAAACATCCCAAGTAGAATTAGCTTGGATGGGTCCTTTGGGGGGACAGTCTTTGGACCGTATGAATATAACTCTATATAAAGCAGTTTTGGTGACATTGACTTCAATAGTTTCACGGCAAAGTTGTGAAACAACCGAAGTGTTTTCGTGCAATTCCTAGTTAAGGTAAGGAAGTAACAAGGCTTACCTTCTGCATTAAGACCAATGGTTTCATCAGCGGAAACCAGTGCCAGAGTAAAGCACGAGACTTTATGGATCCTCCTAAAACGAACCCGTCAAACGTATGCTCTTATTTGGATAGCTCAAAGCTTCCCCATGAGTTTCTTCTCCAGAAATCGATTGCCCTTTTTAGGTGGACCGCGAATACGACCACTTAGATGGAGTACCTAAAAGGAGTACGTAACAGTTGTGATTTACACGAGTTTGGTGAGCTCAGGCCAACACAGGTGTTCTTCCGAACCGTTTGGTTAACCTGGCTGAACACTTGTTTCACCGCGGTTCGAATCCGACCTCCGCCACTCGACTTCCCCTGTCTAGGCTTGGGCAACCTGGCAGTATCCCAGCCCTCGTGCTTCCTTCGGGTGGCATGGCAGCTAGGCACCGGAAGGGTGCTACAGCTGAACGCTTTATCTTTATCAATCAACTAGATGCGAAATGAGGGGGGACAGACAGCCAATCGTTCGTATCTCCACGTTTTGAATTTAACTAAGCAATCTTCGGAGCGTATTTCATTTTTCGCTCCTATTTTAACCATTAGATATTTAGTGACCTGATGATCAGATCCCAAAAACATTAATGTTCGTCACTTTTTCAAACCATGGGGATATTTAGGGAATATATATGTATTTATATACTATATTGCTTTGGATTGAAGCCCTTTTCCTTATCTACCTTGGCTGCAAAAGGTTCGCTAATCTGCATCGTCCCTCAGCAAAAAAAAATTGCCGAACTTCCAGCTTAGTTGTATTTTTTATTCTTTTGCTTGATTCTCCTCTTGACTACTTACTGTGTACGTAAGTTTTGGTAAAGTGATGCCAGACGATTTGAAGCCGATAGAAGTTGCAAAACTGGAAAACTGGGAGAAAAGTTTGAACACCCCGATCTAAGCAACTGGGAGTTGTCCGAAGTAATTCAGGCCCATTTTAGTTGGTAGGTAAGAAAGCTGCTACAGGCTGAGTCAAGTGAGTTAACAGGCATCCATATCTACTCTTTCATATCTTCAACGAGAGTGTAGCGGTTTTTCTGCGTAGATCCGTAGTAGATCCGTGCAGTGGGAACTGTACTACCCCCGACCGTCCACGGGAAACATCCCAAGTAGAATTAGCTTGGATGGGTCCTTTGGGGGGACAGTCTTTGGACCGTATGAATATAACTCTATATAAAGCAGTTTTGGTGACATTGACTTCAATAGTTTCACGGCAAAGTTGTGAAACAACCGAAGTGTTTTCGTGCAATTCCTAGTTAAGGTAAGGAAGTAACAAGGCTTACCTTCTGCATTAAGACCAATGGTTTCATCAGCGGAAACCAGTGCCAGAGTAAAGCACGAGACTTTATGGATCCTCCTAAAACGAACCCGTCAAACGTATGCTCTTATTTGGATAGCTCAAAGCTTCCCCATGAGTTTCTTCTCCAGAAATCGATTGCCCTTTTTAGGTGGACCGCGAATACGACCACTTAGATGGAGTACCTAAAAGGAGTACGTAACAGTTGTGATTTACACGAGTTTGGTGAGCTCAGGCCAACACAGGTATGCTTCCGAACCGTTTGGTTAACCTGGCTGAACACTTGTTTCAGATTCATGGGAAGATGTAACTGCTAGATGAATGGTGGACCAAACTTCACATTGCAATGAACAACACGGGATCTGAATGCCTCCTTCAAAAACTACGCGGGTGTTATTCGTCATGTATATTAGTTGCTGGTCTTAGTGGATACAGGATAGAAAAAGTAAATTCACATGTCTATGTCTGGTTACTAATGGAGTGGCAGCTGTTCATGCGACGTCCAAATCAATCGACACTCGTGCCTAACAGCTGTGAATTATATTTTCCTTATCGTTGTTCACTTTCTGGCTTTTCATTTTAATGACAGACGCCGTTTGGTGACGTGACGACACTGTATGTTGCGTTTCATACTATTTAGAGCTCAGCAGTGAAACTCTGCTGAGGCAGATGGCAACACACTGCGAAAATGTATTGTTCTGTGTTTGTGTGCAACAATAATCTTATCTTTTCTTGCTATATCCCTCGGACGCTGTCTATGCCTCGAACACAGAAATATTTACAAGCCGAAGACATACACAGATCACAGGGCGCTTAAAAACTGTAGCAGTTTTTAGTTTGTCATCAAGTCTTTAGTTTATGTAGGGAAAGCCCGCAGTGCCATCTATTGTGTTGTCGCGGTGCGTGTCATCCGAAATCTCAACCACCCGTTTCTTCAAAGCATTCTGTGCCGCTCTTGAGATGTGCTGTCAAGTTTGAGAATTCATGCGTATGGTTCGGACTCCTTCATCTACTACTATCCTGGAACTGTTGTTTTGTCGTGTTCGCAACTTACCACTGTTTCTGTTTCTCCCTCTGTTTCTGTTCCCGGTCGGTGTGTTTCCCACTACAGTACATGCATAGTTGCGGTCTAATCCATAGAGATTTGAAACCTGAAAATATTGGCGTAAACGAGGACTGTGAGTTGCGCCTTTTAGATTTCGGACTGGCCAGGCAACGAGACGAGCATATGACAGGCTATGTCACCACTCGTTGGTATCGAGCACCTGAAGTTATTTTGGAATGGGAGCACTATGATCAACAAGGTAAGCATTTCCGGAGTACATGTTGATTGCCTGATCCCTATTATTTTTGAGGTAGAAATTTCTCTTTTGGGATGAACTCTTTTGATTCGCCACTTCAAATTACTAACGGCATTATTCTGAATAACGTATGAGTCGCATTAGTTGGCGAGCAGTTTACTTGGTGAATGTTACTCCGTTTTTCTAGCGAGTCCAAAACTCCTCCTGTACGGCGTGCATAAACTCTGGCACGTATTTTTCTGCCGTAGGTTAAGTGATTTTGTATGATGTCCGAACCATCACTGTCCGTGTACGAATACCGGCTGCGCCTGTTTGAATACTTTGTGTGTCTTGGGGGTTTCACCCACGTCTAAACTTGTTCATGCCCTTGGTCCCAGACGTCATCTGCAGCATGGAGTTGACTTGGCATCACTTTCCTCTTTTCCAAATGTATTTTCTTTGTGATCCATACAGGGGTTTACACTAGCTGAACTGCCCGCAGTGAGTTCTGAGCTTCCTTATACTTAGTGGACATTCTGTCGTCATCATCATCGAGAGAATAGCGCCTCTATTCAATACTAATGCTTTACTACCTTGCGATCATAATTTATTTGAAAGCCTTGTTGTGAAAAAGAATAAAAGTGCTAGCCTACCACTCTCATTTTGCGGTGCCTACAACTCCAAACATTTATTCAGACAGTCCTGATGAAAACTGACAACAAGACCGCTGTGGACATTTGTTAGCAACCATATCTTACAGCGTCTCCATCAAGGCACAGCTGGGATCACGCCAGTCTGACTAACAGCAATGCGTTACTGGAAATGCATTACTGAAAATGTTTTGTCTACTGCACTGTACTGTTTTATGCTTATCAAAATTATTAGAGCTCTCTTGCCGTAGTGAAAGAACGCTATATCGCTTACTAGCCACTCGTAGCTGATACGTTGAGTACTCACCCATTTCATCTGTTAGTTCGATTCTTGCAAATATAGTGGGATGAGTACCGCCGGTACATCTTAATAGGATTAACAACTGCGCTATGCTTCTCAGATTTTCATAATAGGTTGGTTCTGTCTCGCAGATCATGGCTTGAGAGAAATGTGCTGTCCTATTGAAGCTCCACAGGCAGTGGTATGTGTTGAACACATTTTCATGTACTGTGGCAAGTAACGGTGGTATGCTTGTCATTTCCCCAATCGCTGTGGGCAGTCATGCAACCTGTAGGAAACACCATCCAGGAGTTTATAGTCACACTAGACAGTGGACGGCAAGTATGTTTCACTAAATGTATTGTGCTTTGTGATTTCTAACCCTCTTATATTGTAAGTTATGTGGCGATTTGTGAAACCCTAATTTTGGCGGTAAACGCTAGGACACCGGCGTTTTCATTTTTAAGCCTAAAGGTGCCTTGAGGATTCTGGCATATAAAGAAAAAAAGAGCGTTCAGCTGTAGCACCCTTCCGGTGCCTAGCTGCCATGCCACCTGAAGGGAGCACGAGGGCTGGGATACTGCCAGGTTGCCCAAGCCTAGACAGGGGAATTCGAGTGGCGGAGGTCGGATTCGAACCACGAACCTTCCGGTCAGTAAATTCGCGCTCTAACCACTTGGGCCATCTTGCTCCTGCCATATAGCATTTTCTCTATGAGCTGAGTTGTTTGAAATGCGTGTTTGGCGGCAGCATCAAAACAAACGTGAATTCTCTCACTATACTAAAATCTGAAAAAATACGAGTTGCTTACTACTTACTTGCCTGAAGGGAGACCGTCACTTCTGCCACACACACTCAGTATTGCTGTTTGAGGGAATGTTGAAAGCCCGGCAGCCTGAAGCTTGAAATCGAGAAACAGGCCATCGAAGAAACATTTTCTTTACCGATAGGTGACAAAATTTTGAGCTATCCTGTCGCACCTATCTCATACCTTGACAGTTGGTGGACAGAATGTCTTCTTTGTTAACGTTTTATATCTTCAGAAGTGCTCCTTTTCTGGCATTGATAAACATAGAAGGCTTAAGGTAAACAAATATTTTGTGGGCCTGGTCAAACTCGAAGACCTAGCTACATCTTGCCCCGCATACAGCCCTTCCGTTGGGCGCCATGTGACTGATACCCCGTTGCAGTTCACATAAGGACGCATGCACTTTTTACCAATACTGCTACAGCATACCTGTTTGTTGGTAAATTCTTTGTCAGTTTCCTAACGAATTGCAATTTTTCTAGTCGACATATGGTCTGCCGCCTGTATTATGTCGGAACTACGCACGCGCAAAACCCTTTTCCCCGGTCTCAATTATATCGATCAAATCCGTCTGATAATCTCCTTCTTGGGTACTTCCGATGAGGAGTATTCTCAAAAGGTGAGTTGATCAGCTACTACACTTTGAATTGTGAGCACATGTGAGCCCATGTGGCTTTCGTTGGTTTTGAATTTTCGGTTTTCAAGGTTCGCGTTGCGGTCAACATCGATTTGTATATTCCTCTATAACGAATTCAATGCCACTACGTAAAAATGTTCGACAGTGTATCCATCCCCTTAAAACACTACACTCCATTGCACATTTTGGCTAATACATATTACTTTCACCTTTTTTAGATAGCAGTAATCCCCTGTGTACAGGAGTATGCACTCATCATCATCATCAGGTGTAACAACGGCGAACTTGTTGCACAGCAGGTATACCTGCCACAGTTTCGTTCATCGATTATGTGGGGAGGGGAGGTAGGTAGCTGCGCATCGGATATCAATTCCCACTGGGCTGCAATCGCCACTACTTTACGTATTCACGTCTTTACTTCTTTATGTCTAATTCTCAAGAGGTGGACATATTGGGATTTGGATGGTTAGTACACTTGTAAACTTTCTAAAGGGAATTGGAATCCGCGGGGATCAAGTGGTCCTCTACGCACCATTTGTAAATGTTTTTTTAAAAAATCCTTAGCCATCGTCAGAAGAACATATGTTAATACAAGTCCAAGTGTTGCAGACTTGTTTTTGCTGTGTGTGCCTTATCCCATTTAGTTGTAGTACGCGCTTATTTTGGAGTGAACTAGTTCGGCGACATGACCTGAAGGATCAGGATGACCATTCTTTTTCCTTCTTTGCACTTCCAATCGTATCATGTTCCTTTTCAGCTGCGTATGACTTATTACAGGTCTCGTTGTTCCGAAAGGTTGTTGGAAATGAGCGGTTTAGTCACTGGTGATAGGCACACTTCCTTTTAAAACGACTGTGCTTGATTAGACCATTCTTTTGTGAGACAGCCTGATCATGTTTTGCAAGTTGAAGCAACCAGAATATCGGTCGTGTGAAACCGTATCCTTTCTCGCCGTTATTTTGCGCACAAACGTTATGTTCACCTGTAGCCTTGATCTTAAAACTGCATCAGGTTGGGGAATTCGAGAATTCTGTTTGTTTTCATGCCAAGGTAGCGAGTTCTTCCGTATTACCCTTGTTCACTTTTTAGACAGTTTTTCTTCTCCAACTTTTTTCAAGGCCCAGAAACTAACGAGCGATTGTGGACCTTTTACTCCGCCAGATTTCAATGAACATTTTTCCGCATTCTCTAAAGAAGGTAAGTTTTACACCCCTTTCGTACTGCATGTTCCCAAACTGTCGGACCGATTCTTGATGACAGCAACGCGAATGTTTGTGGCACATTAGAAATACTGATCTCTTCCCATTTCATTCTGATCGCTGTTGATGATGATGCTTTGCTTCATAGAACATGAGGTTGACGGAAACCCGGGGACTGCGCCTACCTGATGAGCCCCAAGAAGGGCAAAACCGGCCGTGGGCTGTCGATGGATTTTCAGCAACCTTATGAGTAGTACATTACAAATATACATGCTTTGCTTCCCTTTTCGCGATGTTTTCTGTCCTCAGGTATCGACCTTCTTGGAAAATTACTTCGTATCGATCCGCGTCGGCGGCTTACGGCTGGTGAAGCGCTTGATCATCCCTACTTTATCTCGCTTCGTGATAAACTATGTGAATCGGTTGGTGAACCATTTGACGATCCGGTGGAGCATTTAATGGAGGTTAGCATTGAGGATTGGAAAGGTGAATGCATCTGTTTATCTGTCATATTCACTTCACTTCTCTTCACGTGAGAACACTTCTCATGCATCGAGTGTGTATAGTTTGGGTCTACTGGCCTGCTTGCTTCACATTGCCTGACTCTGTGTAAGGATGTCCCGGTTTCTTGGATATTTTGAGTCTTTGGTGCCCATGCTGTGGCAAGGCTGTCACAGATGTTGATCCATTCGGGTTTTCACCCTGTGGTGTAACCCAAAACTGACTCCTTCTGCTACCCTAATGTTTTTGTCGCTCTCACTGTGATGCTGTTATCTTCGGTTTTTGAGGAGCTCGTGGCGTGCTGACCATGCGTTTGGTCTACCTCCACTTGGATAGGGCCGCATAGAATAGTTAGTTCGTTGAAATAACGTAACACCAGAGTTTAGGGAAAATGTAGGTATTCAACGCTGAGGCCGATATTTCCTTAATAGCCTATCAGTTTTCTGTATACTCCTCTAGAACTTCTTATCTGCTTGGTGGGGTACCTCGCCCGTTTCCGTTGTTGTATACTCTCTCAATGCATTCGATAATTTCCGTACCCCATGAGTAATCCTTTTGAACCAACGCGCAACCCCACAGTCAGTGAGTCAGCCGGGTTTTCAGGTACAAACCATGTACCGAATTAGAGTACCCATGCAGCACCACCATGCCAGTCAGTGCCAGATAAAATTGGTTAATCTTGTGTACTCTACAGTGTTGCGAAATCTTCTTCCGTTTTCGGTGTCATCTGTTACATCCGCGACTGCAGCTTTATCGGCCGCTTTTCGCGTGTTACGTTTGTATGCGTGCTTCTCTCATCATCTGTCGCGGCAGCGTATGGTTGGTTAGGTTTCCCGGCTTTCCGTCAACATCCCCAACCGGCATGCAGCTAAGATGTGACCTAGATGGTATTCGCTGTCACGTCGACTGTTCCAGTAAATCTCACCACAACGGGCTTGTGTGCGCGCAACACGCACCGTACGCGTGGGATGCATTTGCCACCGGTGGTCCATCTGTCCGGACTTAGCGACCTGTTGTTAACGCTTTCGTGCTTCCCTGTTGAACGCCTATACTAGCCGTTGCTTTAGTGAATATAACAGTCAGTCACGTCGAAAACTGAGCCTCAAAACTGCTCTTTTCTGCATTATTTAGGTCATATTTGGACGACACTAATAAATTTTGTACCAAAACTGGATTCATTCATTTTGGACGATGCATGCGGTAATGGGTCCCGTAGTCGCTGAGGCTTACCAATCCCACGTTCCGGCGACCTTTCATCAGCTGCTGTTCTTCCTTATTCGAACCCGTTGTATATGGTTCCCGGCTGTATTCCTAGAGCTTTCTCCATCCCCGTTTTGTTGACTTTCTTGGATGGTTCTTTCGTCTTTTCGTACACTCCCAGTCACTACACTTTTATCTCTTTTGTTCGAAATCACACAGGATTGTTTTACGGTTTCATTTATTTTCTGTTGTATCCACCCCGAACGGTGGATACCCTCTATGGGCAAGTGGTGGTCTGTGTAAGCAGTTTTAATTTAGGACAATCGAGAAAGCACAGTGTTGACCTAGTTCTTGGGACCTTTTTCAACAATATTTATTTCAGATGCAACGCATGTTTTGCGCTTTACAGAAGTTGGTTGTCCTAATAGTGTGGTGCATATGTGATGGGAAGTAGGCATTGCATTTGACGGCAATTCCAAGGTAGGCCACTATATTCAAGATAACACTTCTTAAGCTTAACGTTTCTCATTCATGCCCCCTTTTGGAAAAGTCTCGCACAAGGGAACGGCTAACCACGAATAAACTCGCGTAAATATTATTTGAAGTTGTTTTGGTCATCCTAACATTGTCAGTATCTTTTGGGTTGACCATACAAACACTTTTTAAACGACCACTTAGACATGGCAACTTCGGTGCTTATGATAGTTTTCATTCAAAAATGAACCATGAATGAAGAGACCCTTACCTGACTTCGCTCTGCTGTGTTGTCCTCATCCCCTTCAGATTCAAGTGTTGACCTATTCTTAATAATATTCCTACCACGCTGCTCTCCAGGACAGACAGTTGTTATTTTGTGGTTTAGACCACGGGGTACCCATGTGCTGCGGGGAAAACCACAGAACTGCGTTGATTTTGATAAACCGGACTACCGACGGTGCCTCTCTTGCTGCATCTGTCTTATAGCTCCAGGCCTTGGATATTGCAATAGATTGGAATATCTCTTGGCATTGCTGCACTAAAGGATGCACTTCGGACAATTTCACTGACTGCATGTGATAGGCGTTTGTTTGAGCAAGTTAATCCGGCACCATCAATCAATTCTTCACGGACTGGTGCAGTTGCTGCCATTGTTATGGCTGTCACGCCATGCATCCGGAAAACGTAACTCCGTTGCTAAAATCCCACCTACCTTAAGGACAGACAAACAGATTGGCGAGCGCCATCAGACAATTAACCTACATAACCTTCGGCATATCTCTGACCAGTATTATCCACCTCGCCCCTTCCAACTATTAGTTAGGTATGATTGCCCATACAACACTTTGTTAAAGTTAGGTCACACTCATTTCCCGGTTCGCTCCATGAAGCCCGTTCATTCAAAGATCAGGATTTATGTACGGACTTTTCTTGCTCCATAAATGAGAACATGAAATTGCCATTTTTCCCATACATGATTCTTTTTCACAATCGGTTCGATCGTATCATCAGATTCCAATGGACAAAGATGATGCCAATACTCTCTTTGGGCTTTGTGAGTTTATTTGTACGTCTTTTGACTCATAAAATGGCGCCCAAACCTTTCAGCAGTTTGTCAGTAGTGTCACGTGATCTCAGTTTCGCTTAGGGTCTAAGTTCGTGTTTTTATTTGCTAGTACCACCGCAGCAAAGCATTTAGTTCACCTGTGCCAACCGTTCCAACGACTTGGGCTGTGTGGAATCAAGCTTAGTCCTGTCAAGCGAGTTTTCGGTTCGACTGATATTCAATTCCTTGGGCATCGTGTTGATGGCTCCAGGACCATAACTCTGATAGAAAATAATAACACTGGCTGGATATCCCGTTCTCTAGCATATCAAAAGCCTCTACCGGGCTATCGTAGCACATTTAGCGGGGAGGGCGTCCACCACAACCCCTAAATTTTAGTTAATGAAGCAACTTGATAGGTCTGCAGCGCCTGTATATAGCTTTCTATTTTTTGGACTCCTTATTTGTATGCAATACCGTACATATGCTTATTTGAGCTCCATGAATTTTTATCGGTCGATTGGGACAGAATATTCTGCAACTGGACCTATGTATGTTATTCTGTAAAAAATTGAAGGCGGCTTACAAGCATTGCAGACCATTCATGTGGCCCAATTACATAAACTTAAGGGGTTTGCACAGAAACAAGTTATGGTGGGCACCATCCTCTGAATGCGTCACGGTGGACCGGCTGCAGAAGTCTTAGTGCATGCAGACTTCGCGGCATAAATGGCGTCCATTTCTAACCACTTACCTACCATGCCATCCGTAAAGAGCACGAGAGATGTGTTACTGCTAGGTTGCCTAAGCCTCACCAGCAGCAGTCGGGACGCCCGGGGCTGGGTTTTAACGACGGAAACTTCCGGTCAGTAAGTTCGCGCCTCGACCAATAAGCTATCTCGAGCGCTATCTTTCACTAGGGTTGCGATGCGCCATTGCTGGATCGACAACCGACGGATAAACTTGCTGTTCTTAAGCGACAGCTGTACTGCTTTGAGTGGAGAAGTCAGCTTTCGAATATGGCCCTCTGACGAGGACACTTCACTAGTACGCGTCTTTTTGTTTGATAAGTTGCCTTTTGATGAGGTGACTGAAGTTCCCTCAGTATTCATCAAAGCTTGGCGTCATTTGAATGGTGTACCTTTTATGGCGCTCAGATGGGAGGCGGGTTGGGTTTCTGCCAGGGTATGACATTCCTGCAGCGCATGTATTCGTAGCCAAGCGATAGGCTGCTGCAAAGCAGAGTTATTCCACCAAGACACGATAAGCCCGGATGTTACGTGCCCGGCGCTTGGAATAAGCAAATATCACCACTAAAGGAGTCTCCCAAGGACAGGAGACTCAATGTGTCATCATTTTGGAATTCCTCAGAATGAAGATTCTTGGGGTAGACGTTATCTAATTGCCTCAATATGAAAAACCACTTGGTTATAGCTGCTTACGACTATTTTGGAGCACGAAGACCACTCCCTAGGCGCCATGCCCTTGCAAGGCAAACTGGATGGAGTCCTGGAATGCTTAAGAAGCTGACTGAATTATTGACCGCTACCTATATCTCTCTTCAAGCAAGATTATCGGACGAGAATCGAGCGTCTGGTGTGACGGCGCCAGCATATGTAACTAGCCAATAACATACGGTTTGACCGTTTACCTTTTCTGAGGTTATATTTAAGCTATGCGCCTGGTGAAATAGCTTCAGTTGATCGTAATGGCTTTCAACAGGCGTGATCGTTCTCTATGACTGGTTTTTTGTGATAGGTAATGTAACTGATACGGCTCATGAACCGGCGGCTGCATGAATTACTACATCGTGAAGTGCTTACGATAACGAATGGGCTATCCAACGGACCGGAGATCCATAGTAAGATGCCTACGTATCATATAATCCACAGAAGTGAACCTCCATGGAACCTACCATCCAGTGGCGCTGAGCATCATGCGGTGCATTCTTGATGTTGGCTTTTGGTTCAGTGTCATCTAAAGTCCAGCCTCGTCGTCTCCATACAACGTTGTGAATTGCTCAGTTCCATGAGTTTTGTCAGCAAGCAATTGTCCATTATCATTATTGTCATGCGTACACGCTTTGGCGATCACTATCGAGCTCGTTGGGACCTCTGCGTTGCTGGTATGAAGTCTGCGCATTTACTCCTTATTATCGCTCCGTGTCAACTGTTAAAATGGCTTGTGGATACTATTTGAAGTCACCATGCATAACCTGAAATGCCCACTCCGGAAGTGTGAAATGTTTCTGCGGCATTTTTGGCCAACTGATGAAGGGGAGAACTCTTTCAACATGATGATAACATTATTTTCCTTCTGGAGTTCTGGATGACTTTATTTACCTGCGCCCTTATCAAAGTTTGTCGGAGGCATGCCTATTTGGGAACTATCTTGATTTAGTTCCCGGAAAATTTTACACAATCCATTTCGAACGTACTCCGGCCTAAACTCCTGATTGGCTACTGTGAGGATTGGATTATCAGTTATTCTTATGCATTAAAATGCAGTAGCGCTTTCCGCCTGCGTGGTATGTATTAAAACTTATTGCTAAAGGTGATCATTGGAACTACTCGGAATCTGTCCGAAGTGATTATATAATTCACGGTCAATTACGGACGTGGAATGATCAACTACCTGTGTATTACGTACATTGAAAAGAACTATCTGGTCAAACATCCTGTTAGGTTGCTATCAGCAAACCTTGACACGCAGTGACCATAATCGTCCGCTGGTGATAGCACCGTTCTGGAAATCACAACACACAAGCGCTTTTTTAGAAAACGCCGGGGCCAGTGCACACAACCTAGCTGAGCTTACCTACTGAGAGCAAAAGCATCCCACTCGGATATGGTTAAGATTCGACCAACGAGCAAACCAGTCTAACAAGTTTAGTGTCAGCTTGGCAAAATCAAATGGTGATAGTGAAAATATGTATGGGGACATGGCTATCGAGGAAAATGTTTGGCTATAGTTGGCGAACATGGCGTATCCTCCAAGACTTAGGGACCGAGACCGATCCTGAAATTCCGTGAACAATTTAACTTTTGCTCGCGTCTGTGGTCGGCAGCAACCAGGCATTTTGCAGAAATGACAGGCTGCGAGACGTCGAGTGTTACAGGTCCTCGATCCAGATGATTGGGAGCTAATGGGGGTTGCCGACGAGGAGCCCAACTCCTGCACAGCAACAGGAGTGGGTGTGGACACTATCGCAGCGTGTCGTATCGTGAGGATGTTATCAGGACTTGGATTTCTCCAATTCGCTCTCTTCCTTCGCACTTGAGCCACAAAACCCTTGTGCCATCAACATTCTCCTGGTCGATTAGTAGAAACAAATTATGGCACATAGTTAACTTTATGGAACTGTCGCTATCCCTTGAACTTGAAAATCAAAACGTAATACACGCTTTCTACGGATTAATCTGACTTTGCCGAAGCCGCTGTTGGACGAGTGGAGGGTACACCCGGAGATCACACGCCACACCTTCATCGAGTGCCGATCAAAGCGGCATTAGATGTTGGCAGAGTCGGCACCTGATATTATCTGTGCTGGTCACGCGCGAACATCATGTGACTGCGCCCTGGATACCCTCGAATCTTATCCGGAGTCGCTAAGTAACTTGACATCAGACCTGAAAGAGAGTTTTGTCCTCTTAGCTTAAGAAATGATCAACGGTAATCTTGGTAACTGTGTTGCTGAAAATGGTTCAATAGCTTTACTGCACTACTCCTGCATCTCTTCAAATGAGTCGCAAAGATTAATTGACCAATCGTGTCACCTTGATTCCGCTTTTTGGCAGGTTTAAGGCGAAGATATTCCTCTGCTTTTCGGGTTTCAGTATATATTTATAGCCTAAATGAATACTCGTTGCGCAAAACTTTACTGCCTTCTCAGTATGGCGGCAAGTGTGGCTTATTTACACCACGAGGGAGTAAATCCGCCTCGCGTACATTCATTTTCCTCTAGACAGTTGACCGATATGCTGAACAGTCCAGGGAAGCCGAAGGACATAGCGAGTATTTTGGGTGCGAATGGTTGGTTCGAGCAATGCTAATTGCGAAACTGGCTAAACGTCAACTCGGAGGAATATGTGGCTTGCACGTCCTAAGCTGCGCCGCCTAATCACGCAATCAACGCTCCGTAATTATCCAGTATATCTTAATTTACTGGAGGCTGCAAAGATTGCGTGCCCACTTATAGAGGGTTAGAACAATAAATTTCAAATACTATCCACATTTCGAGCTTGCGTAATTGAATTTCACTTAAGTGAGTTTTCCGTTGTGAGCATCAGCGTGTTGCGGGAAGCGAGTCATCTAAATAAAAGTGACAACCCTAAAACCCTGCACTCACCTGATATTACTTTCACACATGTCTGTCTCTTCAGTGCGCAGACTGTATGTGTGTCCAAACGTGCTGTTCATTTGGACGTGATACACAGGAGGGTACTAGCTCACTTTTGGATCTGACTGGCCATGCGGATTTTAGTTATGAAGTCTACCAGCTTTCATCATGGATGTAGTGTGTCATACTTTTTCGGATTTTTCGAACAGAAATGTATGGTGCATCAGGGTTTTACCACTGCCTCTGTTCAGGACGCAATGCAGTCTTAAATCAGCAGTGAAAGCCGTTTCCGATCGCAAGATGGTTTTGCTTCATTTCCATGCTAGTGAGGCACTTCGGTGCCGCGTACATGTATTCATATCATTCAAGACCAATGAACTCCGCGAACGTTCTTATTTAAACTGGACAGTTGGGACCAAATTTGTATTTTTCAAGAGCCCTCGAAGAAGTCTACCCACATAGGTAGCCTGTGTGCAAATTAACGATGAATTTCCCCCATGAAGAGAATCAGGCAGTATTCATCTTAAATCTCTTGCCTCTTTAAAAAGGTTGAAATTGACTGGTGCCACTTCATGAACGTAACACAAACATGAGTGTCCGGGGGATCATCTTGAGCTCGTTCTCTAAAACTTCAACGCCAACGAAAATGGCGACCTAAACTCTTGATGCCATTCTCACTGGAGCCCAGAACAAATCTAATGACTCAGGATAGCTACAGGAAAATAGATGCAAACCAACTTCCGTGCTTCCATCAACCTTCCCCTCTGACTGCATCAGTGAGAAGCCTGGAGTGATCTCTACCCAGGATGGAGGTTTCGTGCGCCAGGGATGCGGAACCTCAGTAAATCTTTTCACAAGAAGGCGGCAAAAAATCAGCGTAATAAAAAAGTAACATAAACCGTCCAGTTGATCTAGTAAAACTCATTCGCACAAGAATGCTCATCGGTCTAACGACCATGACTCTAGCCTATAGCCTCCCCTCGCTTATGACTGGTCGGGTGAGTGCCACCAGAAATGTCTCCATCGGCGAAGTGAAGCTAACCTGAAATGCACAGAACAATTGAACGTGTCGAAATTCCGCCGTTAATTTCCTTTGAGAGTAGCCGGTCATCGAAGGCCATACCTCAAAACAGAGTTTCATGGTGGATTGCGTTTGTTATGCTGCACCTTGCATGGAAATCCATCGAAAGAGCTGCATCAAAAGTGTACTGAGTAACACGCGATCACTGATCGACTAGGCCGGGTCCAACTAGCTTCTCTGCATACAAATAAAGATCTAGCATTTCTCAAAGTATGGCACCCCCAACTTCCACATTTAGTCCATCAAGCTGGATCAGCGTAGTCGCGTTGTCATCGTTGCTTGCATTTTTGAGGACCGGAAAATGCTACGGAAAATTATACGCACCTATATGCCACTCATTATGTTGCCAGATGATCAAGTCAACCTCACTGTATTTTTGAGTGATATGTTGCTTTACGAAAGGCACACTATTTTTTCGGCGTGCTCTCATAATCCCCGGGGTTCACTGAATACCCTTAGGTCTTTATTTACGCAAGATCGTCTATAGTAGGCAAAAAAAGTACATCCAAACCTCTCTGGATCTGGTAGGGTACCTGCAGCGATACTGTCTCAGCCAGTGCAACAAAAAACCAAAAGGCAATATTTTACGCATCAACCCGATTTTCATCATGGAGCAAAACCTCATTATTTGGCTTGGTCCTCTAATGTTTGGAAACTGAAACGTGAGCACATATCTGTCATTATTCGGACTGATGCCTCTCGGTCGGTAGTCTCCATTTATTTACCAGTACCCATCGGCGCTAAATGCCGGGAAATTTCGACGGCTGGTGTCTTCGTCTCCACATTGTGTGATGCTTACAGAGCCGTATCCCCCTTTCAAGCGGCAGCGAATGCTTACTTTGGACTCTGCATCAGGTGTCTTGTATACGATTCGGATGCGTGTTACCCAACTGCAAATGACGCACATACCGAGTGTCAAGCAAGTACCGTTCGGCGTTGAAAACATTTCAAAAGCTTTCTGCATATCAACATCTGATCTGTGAACAAGAAAACCCTTTCTTTCTCCGCCATCACCAATTGAACATTTTGTGAGAAAGATGGTATTTATTGATCCGGGCAAGGATTTGACTCCTGCGACTCCTAAGAATGGGATTTCAGCGGCTTTGTTGGGACTTCCCGGGAATGTTTAGTTTACGTACGAAACTTAATTACCACAGATATTCTCAAGGATACTATTTGCAGGGCTTCTCTTGAGATCTCGGCTCACCCACGTCACCTTCAGAAAACGGCCTACAAACATAACAGTTTGTTACGAAATAGTTTCCTGTCGCCTTCTAGATAATGATGTAGATATGCGAGCGTAAGGTGACTTCTTGTGGCATAATATTGCCTCTTGACTAAATTTTATCCTCCAGGATTGCAAAACGGACTTCATTGGTTCGAAAAAACATTAGTGAGCCTCCCGTCTCTACAAATCTTCCTCAGACCAGTGTCGTACTACGGGTGATTCTTTGAGATGCTATCGGGCATCACTGAACCGCCTTACTAGCATACCACAAAACTGAAAGCACTTACGGGCCTGAGAAATTCATTCAGCCTCCAGCATCAATGACCGAGCATCATTCACACGAGGCAAAAATATTTTCCTTAGAAAAGCGTCAGCTAAGCTGACGCCAAGAAAGTACTGCTGTTCCGTGTTGCTGAAAGACAGATTGACCGCGCGTTATGGCCGCATTCTGAACAAACCTGAAAATAGTTACTGCAAACACTCAGGCGTAAAATGTTTTATTGGTGTAAGTTCTAAACCATTTCTGCTTCAGCGGCACCGTTCACTGAAATGGTTACAGTGCGAAATCAGGAGTGTGGTTTAACCTGAATATGGCACCTCACCGCTAAGTTAACAAAAAGCGGCTCCCGGCTTCAGGCACACATTGATGAACTTGAAGCTATCGGGCAGGCTTCAAAATTAGCCCTTACATACGTCGGCGTTTCCGTGAGTCCTCGGAGGCACACCAGAGGTTCCCCTTAAACCATATTTCGGACAAAGCAGGCTAACATAAAATTTCGACATTTCACGGCATTTATTTGAAACTCCCAAAATATACTAGACAGTCGTAGTTTTGTCAAAATTCATATAAACCTACTCATGATCTTCTTTAGCCACGGGAATCATATTTTTATTGGCCGTTCTGGTTTTCCCTGGATGGACGTGCTAACCATGGAAGGTTTTTCGGTGAGGATAGTCTCTCCAGTTTTCCTTCACTAACTGGTTTCTAACATGCCTTGAAAGTGTACATGAACAGTAGCCATATATTATTTTCCGTGTAAGTATAAAGAGGTCTTACCACCTACAGCCCTATAGGGTGGTCCTCGAGCATACGTTTAAATTTTGTGAAGGATTTTTTAGCACCGATAGCCCACTCTAAGTTCCGCTGTAAGGAATCTAAGATGGAAGGTCGGTTGGAAGTTTAAAAGTTTTCCCTTTCTACGTAGATATCTCGAATGAAGCCATTCGTATTCATACTTTGTAAGAAGACCATCAGGGAACAACTTTTCCGACATTTAAGTGGGTTTTACCTGTGAAACGTAATCCAGATTACCATCCTGGTCTCACTATGTGTCTATCTCTCGGAGACCCCATAGCGTTCTCGAATTCCGCATTAGAGTTCTGGGTCACTCACTCAGCGATTAACAGGGATGGAGTGTAAAGTGGCATGTTTTCGATCAGGGAGGAAGATTCGTTGTTGAATTTTGCCCAGGTCTCCAAGTTCTTTGTGTTTGCATCGTCCGAAGCATACGATGGAAGCACTTGTTCCCCCCTAGGTGACCCGATTAGGATGAAGCATTTGTGCTGGACTTTCTGACTTAAATAGGGTATTTGGTTTCATTGTCGAATACATAGTATCCTTAAGGTGACGACAGCTGGTGTGGATAAAGAGATCAGGATAGTTTGACAGTCCGTCCATCTGGTTGTCCTCCAAACTGGCACAGTTGAAGAACCCCCAGGCCTGGAAAGTGGGACGTCGATTTCACGTCCCAAGTTCGATGGACTTGGATTTCTTTTGTGACCCACGAAAGTTGTAGCGGATTGCAGCTAGATATGGTCCGGCTGATGATTGTGAATAAGTGAATGTACCATAGAATGGGGTGCAGTCTGACAGGGTTTATCATGCATTGGTTGTATGAGTGCCTAAAATTAAACCAAATGGCACATGTCAACTATGCAAACAGAATAAACAGCAAAAGAATTCATGAACAAGTCCGCGCGAGAGAAAAACTGGACCGATTTAGAGCGTTTTGAACGTGGGCAGGGCATATGGACAAGCACGTCCTGAAGTAAAGTGGGTGCCAAGATTTGATATTCATCAGGACGCAGAAGGAGCGTAATTAAGCACATGTATCCTGATATTGCTGACAACCGCGACAGGAATTTTCAGCCGCCACAAACGTCGGCCCTCATAAATTTGTGAGGCCTGTAGAAACCTGCCATTCTATGTGGGCAACTGTCTCGTCATAAGAATGCTTTCCCTCTGGCATTGACTCAATGATAACGATGCATCTTGCAACAGAATTCTCACACTGATTGACCGAAAACTCAGAGGAGGCACACTCCCGCGCAGACCGGGATTCGGCAAATGGAAATAGTCTCCTGTGGCATTCCAGCAACAACTCTTTTCAGGATGCTTCTAAATAGGTGGTTTATTAGAGAGCCAGTTTAGTGCTTATTTGCGACATGGACAATATCTAGCAGCGGCTCACCATCGTCTAAGTATCATCCTATACCTGCATGCCCAGTATCCTCAACAAAATACCGCGGAAACTGACGGAGCAGTATTAGGCATCACTACCTTGAAACTAATCAAACAGAATTATCCGAACGGCGTTCACATGTGACTTCATTGTTAACAGATGTGCGGTCGCATTTCCATAACATCTCTGTGATGCGCTGCTGATAGATAAGGAGTGAAGCAGTGCGTTACACCATTGTGCCCAGTGACGGCCACATGACATAGGCTGTGGCCACTAGTAAGCGGATATATTGAGTCCCCCTGTATCACATCGAACGTTGCCAACAAACCGCACTAGCGCACTTCCATCCGTACAGACGTGAAGAAGAGAATATTCAAAATGTTGTCACAATATGGCCCAGATGTCGGTCCAGATCATATGTAGTCTAGGTTCGTTACATTTCCGAATGAAGTCACGGACCTCCATGGGTGACCGAAAATGCAACAACTGAACGAAAACTAACTTTTCGCGCCTTCTTCCCGCCGATGGTTGCTTGCGTACACTTGCCATCTGATGGACACAAGTAACGCGACTGCTGTATCTTGAAAATGAATATATCGAGGCGAGTCAGAATCTGCTTACCCGAAAACATGTCATTTGACCAGGCTCCGGAAAACGGTGCGACTGTGTGTGCACTGGCTCTGAATGCCTAAGCGACCGATTACGAAGGTGCTTCCCTGGAATACTTTCGATACGGGGAGGCATTGGAACCTTGTCTAGGACCGAAGCATACAGTTGTCCCCGATGGAAATCTAAGAATTTAACTGAATTTCCGTAACGAGACGGCACTTGCATCCTAGTGCTTATCCAGGCGTTCGTTGCTGTGCTGCATTCATTGGCTGGTGCATTCTACAAGTCCTCAAATGACGCAAAAACTTCCATAGAAAAATCCTGGTTTGCGGGCTGATTGGTTTAATCGTAATTGGTGCTGATCACGTTGGCCCCATGGAAGCTGAAGTTGATCGTCACGACGAGCACAGCTAACTTGCTAACCAGCTTTCAATGGGATTTCGCAGAGACACGGCAACGCGATCAGTGAGCGGAAATCGGGCTATTGTACGCTCGCACTGGCTTATATAGGATCCTGATATGGCCTGCGACCGTGCTCTTCAGTCGAAGACTTAAGAAGGAATCCAGCCGTTCGCTTGACTCGTGAGCATCGTAGAAAACACCAGCCTACGCCCAACTATGAATGACACATCTCACGTCGGCCGTCGGGTGGTTTATTCAATCGCGTTGCCTTAATTGCAGCATACGCCAGAGCTTGTAAACGTAAACATAGCTCCACCGAAGCCTTACCTCCCCGACTTTCACGTATTCACTCCTCTAACCTATCCAATCCCAAATCGAGTACCCTTAATGCAGGTATCAGCATTACAACTGATGAATTTGTTTGTTTTTCTGCTTCTGGCTTCACTAACAGCTCTGAACACCTGAAAGACCATTTTCCAGCCCACAAAGCCGGTTTAATTGCATTTAATGTTTTTGCACTGATTCGGGCAGAAAATAAAAGCGGCTGTTACCGGTATTTTGGATTCACTCTACACTGATATATGCTGTCTGTCGAAAAACGAAGCTTCTGAACAACAGTAATGTAACTGAACTGAACGCCCCCTCTCTCTTCGCGCCCCAGGCTGCGCACCTCCGTTGTGGCGAAGGTCGCTACAACCATGTATACCGTCGAGCAGATACGCATTTACTTGAATAGATACCGGCTAAAATTTGTTTCCATGTGGTTCGTTTGGAAACACCTATAAAGCGATGTCGATTGAATGAGGTCCATCAATCCCGGTTTGTGTCTGCATGCGCACCGGTGGACTATAGCTAAGAATCTGTCAAGGGTAGTTGCTATGAGCAACTACATGTATTTTATGACGGATTAAGAGATCAGACATCGTCGTGGTTTTCATTGACATGAACGCTCCTGCCTGTGCCTATGAGGAGAAATTGGCGGTCGTCGTGGGTTGCATATGATTTGTACGGACAACGGAGTGCCTCTTCTTCAGATGTCTATCACGAAGAGCCCGAACCATACCAGTGCACGATAGTTCGCGCCTCCGTGACGCATTGAGCTGTATGGCTCAGCGTTCGTTCGACACTCATTGAATCTCTCCTGCCAGGCTAGTCAGTGGTTCGACAAACACAGTTGTTGTAACGGAATTTTCCCCTGCTTAGTTCTCGATCCGAGTCAACAACAACAATCAAAGGTGCATGGCGCATATAAACGCCCAAAACGAATTCAATAACACTTGTACAGCGCGTCACATACATAGTGTAATTGGGGACCTTCTGGATGCGGTATTGGCAACCGGCATCAGGCCAACACTGGGTAATGATTGGCTGTTGAGTCCAGAATTTCGACCAATCAGATCTCGGTTTGATGCCGGACCGGCGAGCGTCCCGAACTTTTGACCAACCTTGCGTGCGATAGCCTCCTCGGTCGTACCAGCGCCCGACTGCGGACGGTAAAGCGGTATCCGTGTGGAATTCCGCCTAAAAACACTATTCTGGCCTTCCAGATAGGGTGTTAAAGCATGTCTGACGACTTGTTCCACAAAAGTGACAGAGCACTTGCATTTTTGGTCAAACACCGCTGCCTTGCGGTCAGGCTCTTGAGCCAAATGCTTCGGTTGAGAACCCTAATCCTCCTGGCAATATCCCAACCCACTTACAACCATGACACTTAAAGCTAAAATAATCCCATGCCACATCGGCTGTCGCGTGGTGCCACCAGCCAGGTCTCTTTGCTGAATGCAGCAGTGTGGGGAAGCGAAAACATGCTACTGTCGACGTCTCCCTTCCCACACATTAATTAATGTGTGGGGACAGAAAAGGGGAACAGATATAACTTTTCCTCTTCTCTGCCCCTACCACACTCAAATTTGAATACTCTTCCCGCGGGTCCAAGCGCTGGGGCAGACTGCCTTGTTCGCCGTGACCACACCCGCGATTTCTGCACGTCCGATTTCAGTAATGACCCTGAACACTTGGATGTCTGTATCCAAATTCCAAGAGCTTGTCTACTTCGCTGCCTTTAGTGTCCGCACACTGAAGCGTGCAGGACAGCAGGTGGCTCTTGCTCGTTCGCCGGATTTCCTCTACATTGGTGTTTGCTCTGTCAGAAACAAGGGCACAGGACGCAAGTTCTGTGACTGAACTGACTGTACCCTCACTCCGTTTGAGATTCCTGCTGCGCACCTCTGGTGATGCAAATGTCGCTGTAGCTGGAAATTCCGAAGTGGGTACTGTGTTAAAAAATCGAGTGGAAATGTCTCTACTTGAGTGGGTGCCCGCCGGTTGTACCATCTGCGTGGTTTGTTTGACATCTGTGAATCTGGAAGAAGTCGGTTCCTCGGACGCCGGCTGGACGGTCCGATGTGGGATATAAATGGCCAGTGGGGAAAGATATTTGAAGTGCTGCTCAGAACCGGAAATTGTTGGAGGTACAACCCAGTTAGCCTCATCCAAACATTGGATTTTTCCTAGGCCCGTGTTGTTGCTGGAGACAGACTCCCCTGGCAGAAACGAAAACTCCGCCCGACTTATCAACCGACGCCGGATGAAACTGAGTGCCCGTGCAGACCGAGTAGCTTGCTGGACCCGAAAGACTGAAGAAGTGGAAGGTGGGCTTGAAGACCTCCAAGCTCTTCCACGTGATTCGTTCGACTGTCCCTCTAGGCTACGTCATCAGGGACTAAAATCACTCCCTGATGTCAAGCAAAGGAGAACGTATGGACCGCTTGGCACAATACTTCAGACAACAATTTATTTGGCCACCTGCTTACCCCACTGCGAAATCCCGACCTTCAACCGAAAGGTGGACTGTGAATATCGAGCAACCTTCAGTCTCAGAAGTGTCCGAGTGTATATCTCTAGACAATCGTCATGATGCTGCTCATCCAGAGGACCTTCTACCTGCTCTTCTTGAATATTGCGGTCGGTTTCTCAGCCGTTGCTTGTCCAGCCTATTTGGATCCTCTGGACAACTTGGGGAATCGATAGTGGTGCCCATTTTCAAAAGCTGTACTCGCATTGAATGTCATCATCATCACCACCGACAGCATGGCATCAGTGTTCAACACCGATGCTTCACTGCGGTACAGTGTGAATACATTGTGAATGTAGTGTGTGTTATTGTATTAACCACATAGGTGTTAGTTTGACTCATGTTATGACAGGGCCTCTGGCGTCACTGATTATTCGTCGTATTACAGCGGCAGGCGAAACCTTGGTTCGTGACGTTCAAACGGGATTTCGACCGGCTAACCTAACTTATCTTACCTTACCTTATCTTATCTTACCTTATCTTGCTTTATCTTATCTTTACACTCTGTCAAGTGTTAGAGCAACTTCACATGTACAGGTGACCCACAATCTAGTTGTTCCTTGAATTCGAGGGTGCGTTTGATTCTGTCAATTGGTTGGTGCTGTTTGCTACGCTTGCTCACTAAGGTATGCTCCAGAAGGTTTTGGACATAATCCTATCCATATATTCATATAACTTTGGGCGTGTGAGAGTGCAAGGCGAACAAGAATGTCCGCTCTCTCCATTCTTGTTCAACTTCGTCATTGATGAAATGATGAGGCGAACGGTGGAAGGCCTTTAAAACCCCGGCGTTCAAATTGTTGCTGGTGCGAATCTTGTTGATCTGGAGTACGCAGAAGACATCGCCCTCATACTTGAAGGTCGATGCGAAGCACAAGCCTTGTTGAATAGTGTCCACCGTCATACCATTTTTTGGCATTCGCCTTGTACCTTCGAACTGCAAAATCATGCTTCAGAACGTGCGATTTCCTGAAGCGTCTAACACTTGATGGAGAACCACTGGAAGTTGTTGTAGTTTTATTGTGTGCCTGATGTATGTCTGACGAAGTCAGTGCGAGAATCTCAAAGGCTCTAATCATGTTTGCTAATTTTCATCACTTATGACATCAAAAAGGTATATGGTCTGGTCTTAAAGGTCGCGTGTACCAGACTACAATAAGAATTGTGTTGTAGGGCTGCGAGACGTTGCATCTGCGGACGGATGTTGTGATGCGTCTCCAGGTTTTTTACCACCGATTTCTGAGAAGCATTGCTTTGTCAGTTGACGTCAGGGGTTTGGCGATGAGGTAATTGGAAAACAGGTGTTTAGTTGTGCACCAGGTACTTCAGTCGCAGAAAACATTTAGTACCATCAACTGCGGGAGCCCAGCCATGTTCTACACAGGCCGAAAAGTTTACTAATACAAGTGGTGCCTCCTTCAGAATGGCGCAAACTGCGGTGTGGACAGCGTACGACTTTGGAGAATTGTGTGAGAGAGACAAGGTGTCGTCGGTGTTTTACGCCTTCCATGATGGTGTCTCTTTGACCCTTCTGCGCTTGTTTTGAGGCATTACAAGAACTGGCGGTTAGTCGATTTCAATGGTGCTTATTTGAAAGGCCTATTGTGAAGAAAAGAATAAATTGGACGGGGAAGTGCTCAATTACTACAATCATTCCGAGGTGCGTACACCTCCAGACACTAATTCAGGCAATCTGGATAGAAACTGAGAACAAAAACGCCTCTGATATCGGTTGGCAGCCATATCTTGTAATGCCTCAAACCAGGTGCAGTGGCGTTTGCCACTTGTCGCCACATCAACACCGAGTGGTGTCACACATGTGGCTCCAAGTATCAGGCGCACTGAGACAGAGCACCATTTCTGGCTTTCCGAACGAAATGATGGTATTTGATGTCACACGACCAGGAGACCGAACACCCTGGAGAACCAGGTAACCACTCGTACTAATGGATTACTTGTCAACTAATTCAAAACGGTATTGCTTTGTCGGATCGGTGGGACCAGCACGACAAACGCAATCATCGAACATTTGGTCTGTCGCTGGGATGGACTCAGTCAACTACATTCGAATCGTGCATTGAATTTTGAAAGTACTCTGGTACGCAAAATATGCGGGTCCCTGGAAGTCGACGAAACTTTAATTAGACTCCATTGTTCACAAGATAACAAGTTATCTAGACGGGCGAGCAGATTCCGCAAGGCCCTCTTGAAGGTAGTTACTCAAAGGAACCCGAGCACCTGGAACCAGCATATAGGAGTTCACCCAGGGTCTACAGGTCAGGCCGGTTTCCCCGTGTATGAAGCGCAAACTCAGGCTCCTAGCGATATGATAGCGTCCACACTGTCGCCAGATCGATATTTGCCAAAGATTACGCCCTTTGAGTGCTCACAGGCCTTCAGCAAACACATCGGAAGTCGCAGATCTTCGAAGCCACGCAACGGTATTAAAAGAATTACTAAAAAAATTGGTGACCCCCTTACTGCCCCGGTGCTGACTGCGAAATAACGCCATTGACTCGAAAGTGCTGATCAAGTTCCGTCATCGAAAATCAATCAATCAAGTCAAGCTTCGGTGTGAGTGTAAAGGGCCGTATGAAACGGACGTGCCTTGGGAAACGAATTGCAGAGTGAGGTTCTTGGACTAAAACTCGAACGAAGTCATGGTTTATTTCAACAAAAAACCCCACCTTGAGGTGACCCAGGTGGCCGACGTGGAACTGGAGCCCGATGTACAACTGGAGGGTGACTTTCCTAGTGCAACGAGCTACCGGACCCCTTATTATCATCGAACGAGCGGAGCCGCTGAACTAGCCGTATTTGAGGTAACTTTTCAGCGCTAACAAGAGCTCACCTAATTCCCCATTGCTACTGTGTCGTTCCTTATTTTTTTACTAATACCTTTGTGTCCCTCCAATGAAGTTCGTTCGACTGCGGTAGTCTTCTGCGTCTCACACGTTACTGTGTATTCAAGCGGTTGGGCCCAGTCAGTCGAGAGTAGGAGCGGGAACTGAATATCCATGTAACCCTGATATCCTAGCTCTGGACAGGTCTACTATAACAGCGGAACCTTGACCAGTGGCAGTGATTGCTCCGTGAGTCCGTACCCGCATGTAGAAACTGGTTACACGGCTTACTAAAACTGTCCTCACTTCAGACCCCAATAACTCCACTCTGAGGACTATTCCAAATGGCTTTTCATAAGAGATGTATTGTATAAGGTTGTTCCATTTCATGTAGTTGCGTATGTTAGTTTCCCTGTTTCACTGTAGTCTCTTGTTCCAGTTTCAGCCTGCAATATCCCTCTGCCTCTTTATTTTGCTTTTGCACCCGCTGGCCGCGTTGCATTTACAGGGGAGCTGGAAACCCTCCCAGCGCTATAGGTTTTTGACAAAGTTTGGATTTCAACGGACTCAAGTTGACGAGTTAGAAGCTACCAGAGGATACGTTTATGGTTCAGTCAAGCTGAGCGAAGAACAAGCAGGTTTGCTTCGAAAAAACTTAAATTTCTATCTTCTGTGGATGCATTTGGTCCCGTTTAATCAGTGAATTTCATACATCATTATCGGAATAAATTTGATTAAGTCGTATTTGCGGATATCCCTGGACTTTTACCTCAATGCGAACTTTTGAAAAGCGCCTGACAAGGCTACAGATGCATGCTTGGCACAGTGTTGTTACTTATTGCGTCACCCAGTCTAAGGAAGCAGAACGCATTGTTCCATATTATCCCGCTTGATAACTTTGTTGTATCGCGCCTGTTGATTGCGAGTTTCATGTGAGCGATATACTGTTTATCGTCCTGCTTTTGGTCTCCCTAGTCTTTATGGCCAATTATGTCCTGACAGAGCAGGCGCTGATTTTGCTAACCACTTGATCACTTATCTTATTGGAATACATTCTAGTGGCCTGTAAAAAGCACACTGGCAGTGGACTTTGCCAGCCCTCCCAGGGCGTCTGAAGCGAAAATTTGGCTCCTGAAGTGCTTTTGTTTGCATCCCAGCATCACAGCTGAACCTCTTGTTTACGATGTTCTTCCACTAAATTTGCTGCGACTGGTCCGCCTCATGCTTCATTTGGCACAATGTTTCATATACTGCAGCACGTTCCCCTGAAGAAAAACGAAGGGTTCAGCTGTCATCTAGTTCAGTTTCCCGTTAAAAGAAACGATTAATTTACACATGGATGTGTTCTGCGAGTTGCATGCAATTTAGGATCAAGTAAGACATAAAGTTGATGCAAATGTCTGTTGAGTCTCAAGAAGTACGGAACAGGCTATGGACTTCCGATGGTTTCCAGTAACCTGAGTAGTGTTCCTCACGAGGATTTTGTAAACCGATGGACTGAGTTCTAGCCAGCGTTTTATTTTTGTCACGAAAGCCTCGTCAGTTCAAGTGAACAAGTGACCAAATTTTAAGGCAGAAGGAGAATCAATCAGTGAGGTCTCTTCCAGGTAGCTAACCTACGAACGAAGGTAGCGAACAAAGCTTGTTTTCTGTGACTGTACATCACAAATTTATGACACTAGAAGTCGCTTGAAAAGGCTATGTATAAATTGCAGATACATATATTCCAGTGAAATAAAAAAGAAAAATAAGAGGAATGTGGACCAGTAGGTCACGCACTCGGGTTAGTGACTTCAATATCAGGTAAGTTTGTGGGGCCAGGTTTTCTACAGGCCAGCTGTGAGTCCAACAGTCATATCCCCATTGCCCCTGCGATCAATAGCAGTGTGGATCGTACCAGCCATCATCAGTTCAGAGTAACCTGATACAGTGTATCGAAGGCATGCTCTTTGTCGATGACGTGACAAATACGGTGCAGTTGAACTCGAACCCGGTTTCTCTCACTCAGAGACACGGGATTGTGTTTGAGCATTCTGTCTGGCAAATGCCTTGTCGTGCGATCAACGGATGATGCTCGGTACGAGGGCACGAATGAGCACACAAAGAAGCTGGCTGTAGATTGTGAGACTCTGCCCTTCAGGCAACCTGATGGTGGGGCTGGAATTGAAGCTCAAGCACATGTCAGTAGGTCTTCGAATAGCTAGTTCAACAACTGATACCTTTAAATGAGAGATAAATAGGACCAACGATAGAGGAATTTCTCAGAAGGAAGTGGAGTTGAACGATTTCCCGTCGGTCGAAAAGACTCAGGATTGCGTATCCGAAATAAAATCCAACAATTTCACGAAGGTTTACATGGGTCGAGCAACTAAGAACTTTCACAGCACAACCGGTGAGCACAAGCGGCACACAAACGGCTCACCAAGAAACACCGGGCACTGGTAGTGAATTTGGAAAATGCCGGGCATGCACTCGACAAAATAGCTTGGAAATATAGGGATTTTGGGACCACTACTAAGATCTATACCACAGCAATCGGTGACCGGGGCGGTGGAAACCGCCAAGCATCCCAGCGTCAATAGGATCATCATCGACAATACATCAACACTGATACTTCACTTTCGCTTGCGTGAATAGGACTGGGTTCGTAGAATTGGCAAGCTAATGGAGATCGATTTTAGGTCAGCCAAACTGACGCGGTGGCATGCGGTCCCGATGACGTGGTCAGGATCTAAAGTACTGATTCAATGCAGATTCCACTTAATCTCAGCTCCATTTCGTATGTCCCAACAATTATTCATCCGCACAGACCAATAAAATCTGTGAACCACATCCAATAAAGTGCGCTAAGGCAAAGCTCCATAACCCGATTGTGCTCGATGATTGTTCCCCCTAACCAGTCCATCGTACAGTAGGTAACCAACAAGAACTGACCCAAAGTGGGTGCTGAGTTAATCAGTTAGTCGGGAGAGACCTCAGTGGTTGTTTTCCGCCTGTCTTAAAACTTAGTCAACGTGAGCCTATTTACTTGGACTGACGAAGCTTTTGTATCAAAAACAAAACGTTGGCCGGAAGTAAATTCATCGTTGATTTAGTGGAACGTGTGGCTGTAATGATAAGTCAACTGAGCTGGAGCTTGGACTTGTTTGCAGACCGTAATAACAACCAAGTTAACTGATTTCTTTCCGATAGGAATGCTTATTTCCAACTGAATTTGTTTGCTAAATGATACAGAGGACTGCCTTCTTTCTCGTTGGCACTGATACCTAACTGTGGATTCGCCAGGTGCGTTACGATGTGGTTTCCAATAAAATTTGATGCTGGGGGATCTTTTGAAGGGTAGTTTGATCTGCTTGACTGTTGAATTCTACAGTCCGTTGCCACCAAACAATCATCACGTGACTGCGCATTCGATGCTGACAATGGCCGTGACACCGGTGTGGTGGTAAATATCTAGTGACATCTGTATTAAAGACTCAGTTGCATCCACGTCGGATGGTTGGCGAAACTCCGCGCACGCTAGATATTCACATCGACCTTTCCTGCCTATACTTCTGCAGCACCTTATAAGAGCTCAAAGCGTTAAAATCTATGTGAACTCCTCTTCGTGCTTTTTGTCCAGCGTTTTGGTTCGTTTCTACACGCAAAAAAGTAAATGTGTCTAACTGGTAACCCCTGAACATTCATTCATCGTCATCATCATAGGTAAGGGTACACCATTGCTAAAGTACGGCAGTGGCGAACACTGATGTCATGCTGCCGATGATGATGGTCAACTAAATGCTGGTGCAACCGTGAGAGACTAGTTCAGCTGTAGCACGCTTTCGGTGCCTGGTCGCCATGCCCCCCCCCCCGAAGGGAGCTCGAAGGATGAAGTACTCGCAGTTTGCCCAAGTTTAGACTGGAGCAGTCGAGATGCACAGTTTGGGTTCGAACCACGAACCTTCCGGTCAGTAAGTGTGCGCCTTAGTTACTGAGACATATTGAGCACCGTGAGAATGTACCCATTAAAGAGTGAAATGAAGCGGAGGGCGAGGGTTTTTTGTGAACACATACTTATATATCCGTGGACAACACTGTAGAGGAAGGAAACTATATCATGGAACAGCCACTAGGTGAACGTATCAATGTACGAGGTCGTCAGGGAGACTGACCCAGTGTCTTTTGCGAGCTCGACATGTGCCCAAGGTACGATGACAGGCAAACCTATGAAAGGCAGTCCTGCCAGAAGGTGATGGCATGCTAGCAAGTGGGACCGGTTGCGTGCCCTATGTGGTAGGGTTTCTAGCAATATGTAAGGAGAATAACTTGTATCCCAATCAAGGAGGCGTAGAGATCGCACACACCTCAGTTTGCTGATAGATAGTTGCTAAGTCATGATCTGTCACATGTGAGCCTTCCTCCAACAGGACTTCAGAGTTGAAAACGGTGGTTTCTTCGGTGGGCTTACGTAGTACATGTCAGAAACACATTAACGTGTTTAACTTGTAGCTCTATTGATTCCAAAACATCTCGAAGTGCGCCATTTCATTGCGAACACGCTTCAGTCAACTAACGACTTCTGTACTGCCAGAACACGATAATCAGATGTTTGGATCCGACCAATTTCCTCAGATCTAAGGGGTCAAGTTTCACATCCATAGAGTAAGAATGTTGTTACACCTCTGTACATGGCCTCTTAGCTTCAGTGTAACTTTTTCTGGCAATATAAATGACGCAAGCCTGTGCCTTGATGTTGCGTGTATTAACCTCTTCTTCATTATACAGTCACGACCTATGCAGAGGTCCAGACAAGTAAACCTGTCAACAAACTCGAACCTTTCTCCCCGAAGTTTCAAAAGGAAACAGAGGAACTCCCAATCCTGAATTAATCCTTTGTACTTTGAGGGTGCGAAATGTATAGAGACACGGATGATCACATCGGAGGTTCTGTTTAGACTGTGAAGTGTGATGGTCGTCAAGTAACAACAACTTCGACCTTGTAGTCCAAGGCTACTGGTCCTTCTCTGGATGTCATTTCAATAGCAGTAGTCTCCAACCATTACAGCGGGTATTCCAAGGTAATAACGATGGCAAAGTTGAACCGACAGTAAGATTCAATGGTGGGAGAAAACAACTCGGTCACATTTGAATTTTGGGTTGCTCAACATTACATAGTATGTTTTCTCTTGCATTCTCTGTTTCCACATTAGGCGCAAATGTGTCCAACCTAGCCACGCTTGTCCTCGTTGACAGCGAGTTCATTCTCGATCTCTATGGGAATGCAACGGAACCGGTATGGCTTCAAAACACCTCGGGGATTACTCGTGATCAGTTGGCGTGGATGGTAGAGAATGAGCGATGTAGAAGGATGTTCTCGAAAATCGATGCGATCGCTTGGCATAAGACATGCGCCCCGAATGGCCAACTGGACTTGATTCGCGCAGTTCCTTGTTCAGCGGGCAAGTTTTGTGCCGAAGAGGACAATTCAGCACGTGTAATCACTAATTCACAATTCACTTACACGGTTCAAGACCTGCGACAGCCACGGTAGGTTCCTTTTGCGGATTTGTATGGCGATTCGTGTTGGTTGCGACAGTGCTCATCAATTCCTTATGCCAGCCTCATTGACACCTGAATTATGCACGTTCGTGTGCATGTAAAGACCAAGACTGGTTGAGTACGTCTAGTGCTCTAGAGTTTGTTTGTATTATTCCAACCGCGTGCCTTTTTCTTGCATGGATTTGATTACTCACTCGCTCACGAAATCAGTAGTATGTTGGGGCTACTTTTTTCAGAAGAATCCTTCCGTCTTGTCTCAGTTGCTCCGATAAGGTCGTGCCAAAGGAGGGGGCAATGAATCTGAACTTTACCGTTGACATTGCTGACCGGCTCTATAGTGACACCGGAACATCTATTCTGGATATCTGAAATAGAGGGGTCAGCGTGTTACCAATACTACACCGGCGCATACTGAATACTGCCGCGCGTAACTGGGAGGACCTGACAGGTTGGTGATCGGTCGACACCTTAGACTAACGATACAGGTTTTTCACTCTTGGTGGTTCGTCCAGTGGTTCGTCCAGTGTGTGTTACGGAGTGACTTAACTCGCTCATTTCATATATCAGCTGTCGGTAATTCCAGTCCCGGCACGGCTATGGATAAGCACTGTTCCTAATGGGAGCGAAACTCGAACCCAGTGCTTCCTCGCTTAGTGTCAACTAATCAGACTTAATAATAAAGGACTGCAGGGAGAACCTTCAAGCAAGAGGGGCACAAAAACATGATTACTACTAAGAAGTTTTGAGGGTGATGACCGGTTTTAACAACCAGAGTGCAGCGACACAACATCCTCGATCGAAAAACGAAAGATGTTCGTATATCCAACGACCAAATTCTTGTAACTGTATCAGCCAGTAAGGCACATTCAAAATCACAGTGAAGAAAAAACATTTGGGATACTTATGATGACTTATGTTTATATCATAACCGTGAAATCCGGCCTAAAGCAAATTGTTTTCATGTGACTTATGAGTGGATCCGTCTCTTGTTTACGGTGTGTGCCCTGATTGTTGCTCCTGTGTTATTAGCTCTCCTAAATCGTAATCGTCCTACCTTAGGAGTTGATCGTTTTAAGGTAAGTTCATCAAGCGTATTACCCCGGCTACTTTCACCGTCCAGTACGTTTTGGATGATTTTCCATACTACAGAGCGTTGGCGGTAGGTACGCAGTCTGAATTTGATGATGGCATTGTGGGACGTTTCTCGGTCGGTATCTATCATTTGCAGGTACCTAGCTATAACCGCCTTAGCTTACAGTTTCGTATTGAAATTCTAGGATGATTCTCATACAACGTTCGGTTTGTTGCATTAGACATTAGGTTGTCCCTCAGTGCACCGATTATCAGCGCTTGATTAATAATCAAGTCCCTCTTGAGTATAGAAGATCCTGGTAAGAATGACGGCCAACTAACCAAGAAATAATCAAATTCCTCGCAATAGTTTGATGATACTTGATCGAGCCGGCATCACGCGTAAACAGTGCACAGGTTCAGATAAGTCATATGTACAGTGGAATATCAACCCATGACTGGATTGACCAATAACCGAAGACAGCATGTCGAATATAACAGTTAGCACGCGATGTGACCTTAATGAATGGGATGTTCTCCTACACTCAAAAGCAAAAGTGCACAAAAGGTCGTTGACTGTCATAGGAGTGGGAATTTCGTTCCATTTCGTGTGTGCTCATGTGCGAACGCTCGCTCTATCGAGTAACCACCTTCAACGGTCAGCTCACCTTCGTAGCGTCAAGCTGCACTGACTCGAAAATCGTCACAGGCTAACCAGCATAACAACCGCTAACCAACATATGGACTCGCTTTCCCAACCTGACTTGCGCCCACAGCTTTTCTGATTGTCTTACTGACGACGCTGATACGATCCAGCAAATGGTGGGCGCCAGTAATTGTTGTCGGAAAACTCATAGCAGCAGGCACTGATGGCGACAGCGCTTGCCAATCCCAATCACCGAATAGCAACTAGTCTAAGGTAAGAATAAGGTTACTGTTGGTGGTGAAAAAGTAGCTGGGTTTAGTACGATGCAGACGGAGGTACTCGTGGAAATTGGCCATGGGCAACCGTTCCGTCGCACCAGTACTGGTACTACTCGTGCTGTTGAAGTGAAGATGATGATGATGGGAGAAAATGGAACCTCGATAGACGTTTGTTCGGTGCCTATCTACCATGCCGCCCAAAGAAAACAAGAGGGCTGGAATACTGCCAGGTTGGCCGGCCCTAAACAGGGACGTCGAGATGCAGAGGTCGGGCTCGAACCACGGACCTTTCGACCAATAAATTCGCGTTCTAATCACTGTGGCTCGGCATTTTCCCGTTGGGTCATACAAGTGGGGGGTCATACTTTGTTTCGCGATTCATTGCGTTGTCGATTTTGTGGTGCTACGGTGAACTTCTGTTTGGGCCATTTATCTGTGGATCCATCAAGAAACCCAAAACCAGTCTCAGAAAGTGTTGTTCTGTGTTCTTAGCATGGTACCACTGTCAGTAGTTTTACCATATTGTTGCAGTAATCGTCAGAACCTGGTCGACCCCCTTCGGACATTAGACTTTTCCTTACCGTTTATTAAGTTTTATGCAGCTGAGCGATAATTTTCAAAATCAACTTGTATGGGCCAACTTGGGATGGGCCAATAAACAAGTCTTAACAATAATGTCCCTGAATGAGAAAACAGCCTAACACTTTGTAATGTACTACTCATAAGGTTGCTAAAATGCATCAATCAACTTGTATGGGCCAACTTGGGATGGGCCAATAAACAAGTCTTAACAATAATGTCCCTGAATGAGAAAACAGCCTAACACTTTGTAATGTACTACTCATAAGGTTGCTGAAAATACATCGACAGCTCACGACCGGTTTCGTCTAACACTTTCGTGATAGCGTGGTGGTCGAAATGGCCTCACAGGACGCCCTACAACATGAACCATGTCTGAAAGAAAATAGCCTAAAAGAGATTTTCACCTCATTCGAGAAGTTCATCTACTCAGATATGCTGTTTGAAGATCAGATTTATCAAATCGTCAGCTCTAGAATGCCGTAGTCATGAAATCACTTGCCGATGGCCTTCATTTTTGGTTCACATTCGGCTGCTGTTACGATCCAGTTTGTAAGTTCGTGTTCCTGTCTGCGCTCAGCACATATCCTTTTTATTCAGTCATTCACTCCAATTTGGATGTGCTATGAAGTGTTTGGCAAGCATCACAAATCAAATTGACCACAGAATGAGGAAACGGTACCATTTAGATTGTGAAGTCTTAACCTAATGCTGGCGAACGGTTGTCTGGCCAAGACTCGATCGATAGATGCCGCAGCATGAAGGCTGGTGAAAGTACCAGGTATTCGAATTTATTCAACTCTATGAACTCTCGCCTTATCTGTGATCGAGGCAATTCCTTTTTGATTGCGTAGCCCCCTCCCTTATTGTCAGCAACAGTTTATTTGTACTTTTCAAATCCGATCGAACTTTCCTTCATCGTGCATACACTTAGACAGCCTCGCGTTCATCAAAACACTTTTGCGGTTGTGTTCTGTGCAGCATTCATGGAAACCATATTTTCACCAATACTATTTTCTGTAGTAAGGTAGGATTATTCGGTGTGTTGTGCTCCCGAGAAATACCAGTTTGTGCTGTACTACTGCAAGAGGAATTTGTCGCACTGATTCTCGGTCAGTCTTGAACCATTTTCTTCGTATAATCACATATTGTTATGTCTTACATACTAAACTAATTGAATCGGACAAGAAACAATAGTTTGTTCACATTTGTTCGGAGTTTCCTATTTACATGCTCAGTATTCTGCACCACAACGAATTACAACATCTTTCGGTCGATTAACTCAACGGCCTTATTTATCGTTAAATTTTGTTGTTGACTGTCTGACGCAGAAACTCAAACATTCAGGTCGTGACAATTAACGTAAGGTGACCCACATTTGGACGGGATCGCAGCACAGGGGGACTGACTCATGGGTAGATTTGTTATCCAAATTTTCTGTAGGTTGTTTCCACACCAAGCCATCGTCTCGCTTAAAATTGGGATTGTTGTGCTCTCATTGAGGCCTTTGTTGTAATTGCAAGATAAGCGTACAAAATTTTCCTCTGAGCAATGTAATAGTCCGTTCACCGTGAATGAGTTGTCCAAAGTCCTTTCTTCATCGACTACCCATCCAAACGGCATTTCCTTCAAATTCCTGTAATGGACCCTTGGCATCAGTAGCTAGGACGAATTCGAGTGCACTTCCTCAATCGTATTGTTCATTCCCTGCAATTAAAGTTCAACCTCTTCTTGAGTTTCGTTTCTGAGGAACGTGACGGGAGTTGAGGGTGACCTCACAAGGAGATTAGGCTTTAAAGCGCTCCTTATCGATCCTGTCCAACAACCTCCATATATCCGAAAAAGATTACAAGGTTTGCATCACAATTTACTTGGTGGATTGTGTTTCCCGCACATAATCATTATTTTATTGACTGTGTTATCGATCCTGTCCAACAACTTCCATATATCCGAAAAAAAATCACAAGGTTTACATCACAATTTACTTGGTGGGTTGTGTTGCCCGTACACAATCATTACTTTATTGACTGTAAACACGTACAATGTTCCGTCGGTAATCATAGTTTTTGTTTAGTTTGGTAAATGGTGTAAACTCCTCCGTCATTTCCTGTTGTTTGCATAGATTTGAAAGTCGTACAGTTTTCGGTGAAACAGCGGAGGTTTGCCTGTGCATTACTGTAGCCATATTGTGCATACCCTTACCTTTCGTAACCGTCTAGGCGGTGCCAGCAATTGATGTCAGACTCACGTTCACCCACCCTATTTTGCACTTCTGCGTGAGTCAGGTAGTACGTTGTTGTAGTGGGTTGGTAAGAGTTTGCAATGTTGAAAGATTTCTTTATAACTAGGACATTTTTCCATGGAGTTAGTTGCATGAAATAATAATATCAATGTGAAATAGTTTAAATCTGATAGTTACACTTGACGGGAGGTATTCGACTGTCTCTATGCTCATCGTCTGACAGCATAGGTCGGCTGGATCAGCGTACCTCTTCCAGCGGTGAACGAAAGGAATCAAAAGACGACGGTCGTTGTCTACGTTAGAGAGGGAGGGTGACCGCAAATTTTATGCTTGGGTCCTCCCCGTAGAAGCGACAGATTATTCCGTCGTGATCCAACTTTACAAATAGAAAGTTTTTGGTACCATGAAATCAGTCAGTGTCAAAAAATGTTCTGACTGCATGGTGGCGGGTATCTCAGTCAATTCACTCATGGATGATTGGGCGATGCATCCCTACTTCGCCTTTACGTATCCACGGTACAAATTTACAACTGTCGACTGGAGTGGTGTCGTCACGCCAGGTGAAATTCAACGTAACTGTTGCGATAGGCCTACTGTCAACCTCACGCGCACCGGAATAATACGGTCTGTGACGGGATTTGCCGACGGATATCGAAGGAATTACGGTATAACGAGACACACAACAGAAGTACCGTTCGCGTTAGCGCAGATGTCGAAATACGAGAGTGAGGCCATAACAAGTAACAGTGTAGCGAAGGCGTAGTGTATTACGACACACTTAAACTGAAGGGTTACGGCACCCGTCACACCAGCGGCACCGTCTTCTATCACTATAGGCTGATTTTACTGTGCCCTGTCAACAACGTATACCATCCCACTCTGAAGGAAGCCACACCTCTGAAACCTTTAAGGAGAAGCACGTCCGTCATGGTTGCGCAACTGATGACCTTCCTGTCTGTCATCCTCTTGGCGATCGAGAGGTATATCTGGCATTGCCTACTTCTGATACCCATGTACTCGTGGTTTCAGCCACCAGTTCCAAGTATCTTAGTGCCCAAACTTTGTCTCCTCTTGTGGAGCCCTCACAAGTTACTCGCTCTTCTGCCGAGATGTAGCCACACTCGCGAACCACTCACTTGCAATAGCTGCTTGCTAAAACCTAGTATCTAAGTTGCCATCTTCGCTTTTAATGGCACGCGTCTTATACGACTGTACGTCTTCGTGGGAGGTCAGTTGTTCGTTCGACTGTTAATGCGTCTAAGCATTCGCAATTGTATAAATCCAAAATTGACTTTTAATTAATTTGATGACGATGATTATCCTACCAACCACGGTGCGGCAGACGTCCGCTTGAGAGTGCGTTGACGGACACTCGGGCTTATCGGAACCTTGAGATGCCCATTCATTCCGAACTGCGTGACCTTGACCGCCCATAAAAAGGAATAAATCATACAAACCGGAGCAGCCGAATGCAAAATGCCACCTGTGAAACAGTGGATAACAGCTTAACCAACTTATCAGCACACGTATCTGGTTGTTTCTTAGCTATATCCAACCAACTGGGCACTATACATAATCCCGTATTTTCTACAGCAGACCGACTGGCTGTATAAAGTGTTCTGATTTGTTATCTTTCGGTTCGTTGGGATCTACTGTGCATGGTGCATTTCTATCCAACTGTACAACAAAATGCACGCTGACTTGACATCCCTCGTATACCAATTTCGTGGTCTGTGCCACTGAAAGGACAAGTAATAATGGAAAATCTCGTTACTCGTCAGTCACTTAATCGAAAGCTTCTGCTGGAGTAGGTTTCATTTTTTTTATAAGCGGCTTGTCTTGGTTGAAAAAGAAAATGGATACAATAAGTTGCCTCTAATCACTGTCTGGTATGGCAGTCGAACTATCAATGAACTTCCCACTACTACGTAAGACGTACGGCTTCATGATTACTTAAGCCACCTTTCCTAAGCAAGTAACTCGCAGATTCCATGTCGAATCACGATGCTCAGACAAAATGTAAAATGAGCTTTGTGAGTTCTAACATACGGCGTTCAAGTTTTATGCGGAACAAGGTTCCGTAAACTCGTAACACAACGTTGTAGGAACTGAGATCTCGGTCTGCTGGTAACGTCATTCAGTGTGGCTCTTGAGCTCACACCGTCTGTGAAATTTAGCTCGCCCTTTTGTGAATCAAAACACCCGTATCCACATGTTGCCTTATCCGCCCACCCTGTTCTACAGCAAAAACAGGGCAATACCTGATTGACACCGTTTGACCGATTTTCAACCACATCAAAGCTTTGAGTGATCAAGTGTGACACTAAACACCCCAACTGACGAAGTGACTGGCTCCTGAAGTCCTGAAAATCGAAGACTGACGGAGTGGCGAGTTGGTTAGTGAACCGGTTGCTCATGCCTCACTTTGCCAGAGTCTGGTTCGAACAATGAAGATTGATTAATTAGCTGGAACTCACTTAGTTGCATCTCCAAGGGGTATTTGTGTATGCGTACTGCCGGTCTGGTTTAAACAATCAAACATGTTTAGTTTTTTTCGAGCACCTACTCGCGGACACTCTGGGTAACCCTTTTGGGAGGAGATAAGGTCCATCGTTCCTGGAACCCGTGATGTTAGGTATTGAGTGGCATATATCCCCAAGTCATGATGGGCATATAAGAACTTTCTGGTATGTAACTGCGTATGCAACAGTAGTCTTTCCTGTTGAATGTTTGCTCGTTATCTTTGTCTTTTTTCCACACCGTACAGGTATTGGTACCTCATGCTAGTGGCTTGTTCACGCAATCCACAAACATGCCAGTGGGTGACGACTGCGTTACCTAATCCAGACACTCCGTCCAGCTCCATCATTTCCACCGCCTCACTTGACTATAGCATATGGTTAGTGAATGGAGCCCCACGTCTACAAGGTTTCAACAAATTTGAGCATCAGTTCTCATTCGAAAAACACGATTCTGTTGAGATTTATTTGGTCTTCTTTGTGCTGTATGCAATCCTGGGAACTATTGTCCATGTAAGTCGTGGAGTTGGTTTATCTAGTGTTTTGTATTCGCACCCCATATTCACTTGTCCGACACACTGTTCCTACGTCTACATGTTGCTCTTCCTCACACTGCTTATCGCAGGTACACTCCCTCGAGTATACTGGGTTTTCTGCTTTCACGGGTAATTGTGAGACTGGTATTTCACGCTTTTATCGGAAAACCGGGTGCGGACCACAACCGTATCTTCTGCTGCCTTTTTCCCACCATTATGGGAAGTACAGAGCAAAACCACAGAACTTTCCCCCTCGGGCACTATTTCTATGACACTTTATTTTCAATTGCGAAAAATATTCTTCATTCAAAGTACATGCGAATTGCAAGCAAATTGTCGTATGGAAATTCCGAGTGAATTTTTAACTGTGATCAGTTGGTTGTTGAAGCCTTTATCATTGTTTTATCACAATAGGATGAAGTGCTACCAAGAAAAAGGAATTATCGAGCCAACTGGAATTCGATTTTTCTAGTGATTATTTGATTAGTGGATTGAACAAACTCAACTTTTTCAGTATTGAATTGTTAGGTTGGTCGTCAATCTTGGTGGGCTCAAGGGATCTTTAAATATTTGAATGCCTGGGTTTCAGACGATTACCGTTCATTTACCTGTGTTCTGCTATATCCAGTTTAACTCAGTTGTGTCAAGGGCATCTGTTCAACCAGCCTAAAAGAGTTTCAAGCGGTCGTGATGTTATGGCGCCAGTTTATCAAGCATACCTATTGTAAACCATTGTTTCAAAGACGTCTATTAGAACGGGAATAGAAGTTTGCTTTCAAGGCAAATATTGATTATCGGTGGAGTTCAGTGCAAACCGAATACTGTTCAAGCGTGACTGATGTGAAGAAGCCTAATGTTACAATACCTGTTCGGGTTTGAAAGGGTTGAGCCTCACTCTCCATGTGTTTTACTTTCTCACATGGTGAATTCATGGTAGTTTCCACAATGCAAGTTAAGAACCGAAATACGAAAATCTTGTTTCATTTCTGCGAATAAAACTTGTGCATCTTCCTCCGAAGTTTGAAGGTTATTCGTGTTGTTTCTCCTTTCAATATCCTGGGATCGGCCACTCGTCACTGAGAGACCAAAGTGGAAGTTTGGTTCCTTGAATACCTTCCCGATGTTTGTATACTCGTGCACAGTGCTTCCTTCTGGGGAGCGAAGCCCACGGAAGACGAAACCGCATTCCATCAGACATCTGCAGAGAAGCCATTCTTGTTCCCTCGAAATCTCCCACTTTTCCATGCCTCTGTTGCTCAATAATCGTGTTTTACGGCTTTGAGCCGTGTATATTAACGGGGTGACTGATGTTGCAACTTCGGGGAACGCACACCGGACGAAGAGGAACTTGTTCGGATGTTAGAATGTAATATACATGCAGTGCAATATATATGTAGACTACTTGTTCCCGTTGTTATATGTCACCAACAAGTTATAATCAGGACCGTTTGATAAAGCTATTTCAGAGCATCAAGTTTAACCAAGCTTTGTTTCTGTTGGCGTGCAACCCTAGTTTATTTCACCCAAATTTTACTCATGAAGCACGTGGTCGTCTAAGTGTTTAAGTGAACTATGATGTCTCCACCAATCGGTACTGATGTTACGGATCTAGACTAGTAAAGTTAAAGTCCTTCTTTCAATAATGGACCTTAGCTACTCTTCGTTTTCTTTTTGTCTTTTCAGGTCAAAATGTTCAGACAGAGCGTAATCCACGGAGCACTGTTCCTTACTCACGTTTGGCTATCGATTTTTGCCACCCTTTTCACAACCATCCACTTGGGAGTGTTTTCTTTTGATGGACAAGGTTTAGGTCACCTGTCAACTTTCGGTACTTTAATCGCACAATGGGCGGATGCTTTGTTCCTAGTCTTGCTACTTTCTACGGCTGAAATGGGATTCTTTCCTACCGTTACTCAACGTAATCGTCATACTGTCGAGTTCGACACATTCGTTGGGCCGGGAGGCAGCCCATCGAAGGGTGCACATGGTTATGTCTATCATCGTCTCCCGGAATACACACAGGCCGGCATCGAAAGCAAGAACGTCAGAACGAATCCCATGCAGAACGAGCAGTCCTACACATCTCCTTGGCCGTTCATCTTTCTCATGGTTGCTCTGTTCGAATCCGTACAAACAATTCTCTACATTTGGGCTTCTGTGAGTTTTTCACCATCTTAGTTCATTTATTTGTCTGCGTAGACACTTCTGTGCACACTAGTAGAATTGATCAGATCTGTCTCCACAAGAAGTTTGTCAACCTCAACATATTCTTACACTGGTAGTTATCACGATATCGGCCACCAGGACGATGTTTAACTACAGTCACATACCAGAAATAGTGGAACCTCCCCAAAGGAGGACAACTAATGGAGACCGTCAGGGTGCAATCCCTCCCTAAGGAACGGCTTCCGGCAGCGGAGACGCTGTTCCTCAGCCGCACACACCACACGTGTCAGAACAGGTCCAAGAATCTTCACTGCCTCACTCCAGTATCCAGCAAGCTGACAAAATCGATGAGTGTGAGGATGTTGCAGCGGCTCGTGTGTCTGATGTCAAATAGAAGTCATCACAACAAAGACGGATGTACGCCATCAGTAGACATGTAGACCTTGGGGGTCCACTTCTTTTCACTAACCTGTGTGCACCTGCATAGTGTATTTAGTCATTCGTACGTAACAATACGTCTGGGTTTTTGTTCCTTGTGTCTTTTATCGAATATTATTGTTTATCGAGTATTCGTTCGTGATTGGCAGTAATGAACTTTGTTTACAACATGTTGGTAAACCTAGGACCCTGCTCACAGCAAACCATGAACTACTTCGTCGCACCACAGAGCCTCAGTTATTAATGATCTGGTCGTTTTATGTTGGATCATAGACACATAAATCTATCGACCGAACTTAAATCTTAGGCTTTCATGTTGATAACATGTGTTTCAGGGTTCTAGTTCTTGGTATGCTCATGCAAGCAATCTTGTTGGCTTGTCACCCCCGGTAGGTCATACGTAGCTCAAAGACCACCTCTTGCTTAGCTTTTGTCAGATGGAAATCATCCTGATGCGTTCAGCTCACAAATACCTGGTCAGTCGACTCAGTTATGTTAGACGCCGCCTTAATGGATGGGGTACCTTGGCACAATTTTGTGACAATTTCCGGTCTTTTTGTAAAGCCATTGTCCGGTATACGTAGTGGACCCACCTCCAAGGTAGTGGAGATGTTTGCCTAACCCAACTTCACTGACGTCCGTAGTATGCTTTCGCTGAAGAAATCGTAAACCATTGCTTTTCTTATTGTTACAAACATTCTGACCATTATGCAGACCACAACACGTTTTATGTGCCAATAGCCTGCTCAGGTTGTCAAAGCCGTAATCAGAATGGTTATCCCATTGCTCTTTCACTTTCTGGGCTCTCTGTCCAGACTGTAAGTCCAGGCTTGCAAACCCAGTTCAAGAGCTAATAACACTTGTTCTGTGCTTTAATGGAAACCCCCATCACCAGAATAGACTTGACCTAGGTTTCTCCTTAGACGGTCCGTGAATAGCACATAGGATGAGGACTTGTTCTCATCCGTTCACGGTCAGGTTAGACCTGGTTCCCTAATACCCTGTTGGTTTTCCACCCGCCTTTGATTTTCCGATTTCCACCTTATTTTCCCCTTATAGTTTGAAGTGAACTTGATGTTGATAGCGTGCCGCGCCCCTTCCATTACTGACAGTCTGTAGGAAAAACCGTTGGTTCTGAATACGTACAGCTAGCTCGTGTAACGTCGCCTTGTACGGAAATCTAAGCTGCCAATGCGTGAATTCTTCGTGCATCAACCTCGAATATTTGTCCTGCACCAGTCTCCGCTATTCGCACCCGAATGTGTTCTCCCTTCTACCATGGAATGAGCAATCCATATGTCACCATGTGTCATGGTGTTCACGCAGTCGATCGCTGGCGCTGTATATCCCGTTTCATAGACCCGTTATTCTGAGTAACCGGTGAACACGTAGTTACACTATTGTCGCAGGAATTCAAAACACACGGCAGTAACTGGTACCAGTCGTTAGAGGCTTATTTAATGTATGGGGCTTGTGTTGATGGCACTGTCAATTTCGGGCGAACGAGAGTGGTAGACGCGCACGCCACACTGGCAGTCAAATTCCTATTAATAGGTGCAGCTGTGCTTATCCGACAAAAATGAATCAATACAAACTGATTCAATTCGCAATCGTCCTCCCGCGAACGGACCACTGGCTCTCCAAATGATTGATCGAATGAAGTGGATCGTTCCTAAATCCGAGGGAATATCAATAAACTGCGGTGAACGCTCCGTCTATGTTTGTTGACAGTGAGTCTGAAACGGCCTTGCACAAGTATCCCACAGACTTACTACTCGAAGTCCGACAGTAGCAAGGCACTCACGTATCTACCTTTACCGTATGGGATATAAACCTGAGATCACTCATTTGACGGTAATTTTACGTGCGGGTGGGTGATTCTAGTTCATGCTCCTCGTTGCTTGATCGACCCATGAACTTGTTAGGAGGCGACTTTCGGTTGTGTGCATCAGGTAATGGACTAGACCGTACAAAGAAGGCAGCTTGCGGTTGTTCGCCTTTAGAGACCATGATCTGGAACCGGACTACTATTGGGTGTTCTCTTTAGGTTTCCATCATATTTGAGGAAGTGGAAGAGGTAAACTCACTGGTCAAATCTAAACTCTAATTTCTAGGCGAATTTCGATAGAGTCGCATTTCAAAAGTACCCAGAAATCTATCAGCGTGCTCGTCTGGTGTGCAACTAAGGCAGAACAGCATGACCACTGGTGCATAGCGTAGAATCTTCTTGGTTAACTGGTCACGGCGAATTTGATAGATATCTGAGTTTACATAGGGAAAGGAGCGTTGGTTGTTTGCAGACTAGGTCAGATATTTCCGTGGATTTTCATCCTGAGTTGCTTGGAGCGTATATGCAAGACTTCGTTCTTAGTGGTTGCAGCCCGCGGACGCAGGGGTGCGTTGGAAATAGTTGATAACTATGTGACCTCACATGGGGTACGATATTTACTAGTTCCGAGGTTGTTTGAAGTGAAATCGCTCCTATTTACTCCATTCGTTGAATGTACTCAAAACCGGATCTTACTCCGGAGCAACTGGATTAGTCCAAACGTGAGAAGCACACCTGAGTGAACCGACACCTCTCCATCCCGCATGCGCGCTTCATTTGCTCACCCACGACTCGTGCTCTTTCTTACTATTATCGACAACGGTGAGGATACACGCGTCATAGCAAACACTTGATATTGTTGCAGTGACTGTACTACTGGCGTTTTAGACGGAACTTTACAATTCGCTCGAGGAATAACCGAGCTGATTAAGAATCAATGCATTACTACCCATTGAGAATCACACTGTTTACGAGATGCCCAGTCCTAATTATGGAATAGTTTGAGGGTTGCGTCTATTTCACTCTGTGATCCAATGTTTCGTAACCGTAAGAAACAACAGGCTGTCTCGAAACTGTACCGGGTACATGAGATCCAGCGTTTGGTTACGGTTATTTGAGGGACCTTTGAGAATTTCTACATCGGAATATGTGTAAGTGGAGCTACATCGAGAAGCCAGATCGTTGGCGTTGAACGCAGTCCATAGCCGGACCAACGCGGTGAACTAAAAGTGAAGATGGTCGTCGCTTCTAGTACCTTTAGCTTATTGTTACGTTAGTACTTATTCAGAAGTAGTGTAATGGACACGGCGATTTTCGAGGGAGATTTTAGGACTATATATTTTCTGACTTGTCTGCCATGTTTATCCATCCCAAAAGTAGGTATCGACCGGAATACTCTGAATGCATATGTGCGAAATGAACGCAGGCCGAGGTGTCTATCAATTAATTGTTCTTTTCTCTGTTGCTGTTGTTTGTCACTTCCTTTTCGCAGTCTGACCGGTAGTTGTGAACGAACGATGCTCCCACGCCATCCGCTTACTTATTTTGTTATTATACGAGAGCACGCTGTATGTTTCTATTTGATGAGGAGAATCTGTTTCCTCCTCATTTCCCTCAATCGATAGATTGATCAGAATCCGGTAATCGATTTCTACATTTGGAATACTGTGCCCGGCTGCCTACTTCTCGCGGTTCGCTTTGGCGTATCCTTTTGGTTTTTGGCAATACTGCGACGGCGTTTGCTCCAAGTGGAGGTTCAACCGAACGGGGAGGAAGTGGCAGGCGCAAGCTCGTTTGGTTTGGGGATTGACCTTGTCCACTTTGCAGCCGGATTTCTGCTGTGGATGGTTGTACTGCCACTGGTTGTATTTATTGCGGAAACTAGCGTGTCACCTTTGTGGCGTAGCAAAACAATCCTGAGTAAGTATCTATGCGGTGACTTTCAATACTGTGTCTATTCATCAAATCTGCACACTGCTGGTTCTCCAATACGTCCTCCGCAGAACCTGATAGCTTGAGGATCACTTGCCAAATAAATTGAGTTGTTTTTATCCTATTCAGTCCTCAAACCAGGTGTTATGTTGTTCCAGTTTAACACTGCATGTGGCGCACACAATTATATTTCCATTTGGAACTCCCCATTTGCCTGTGATTCTGGACAAGACTTGATTACTTTCCTCAAAGCTATCGATTGCGTGACAGTGACCTATGATGTACTTTCGTATCCCTAGACAAACAGGAGGATCACTCGTTTCATCTGAATAGTGACTGAAAGTTGACATGATCGGCCGGAGGTGATTTATTTGGAGAGTTGCGCGTAGTAAAGTGATGCAGTAAAAAGCACGTGTTCCGTATTTTCTTCGAATACTGACCGATTGAATGTCGTTCGTTTACCCTCCTGAGGTGTTCTGTCGAACTTTTTTGGAGTGAACTGATCAGCACTTTTACTACCGTTACTATTGTCCTCTGTTCTGAAATCGCCTCATAATCGCTCTTCATCAAAGGCTTCCAAGACGCAACAGACCTAGAATATTTATCCAGCCTAAAAGCGGTGATGAAGTCCATCGGATTCGATAAAAATGCTCATCAACAACTTCGGCAAACCGTCGTCCCGGTCATCACAAGGGACATCTAACAGTGATCATGTGCAATAAAGCAAAGGCCTTGCTCAACGACACAACTACGTATCGCCGCTTAGAGGCAAACAACTAGAGAACGAAATCAATGAGAACTTAAAGAAGCTCCATAATCTGCACAACGAAAGAGAACGAAAGCTCGTGATTCCCTCTTCTATGGATTCCCAAAGGTACGCAAGGGAACAATACCCATCCAAACAAAAGTATCACTCCCCGGAACGGCGACCTACAATCTTTCGAAAGAACTATGGAAGAAGTTGAAACATCTCATCGGCGGGTCGCTAAACTCAACCAACAATGCGGGACAATTTTTGGAGAGACTGAAGAACGTAAACATCGATCAGGATGAAACGATGGTCTCATTTGATGTGAGCTCGTTATCCACGTCTGTAGATGTCCATGCTGCAAAGAAGATTGTGGCCGAATTGTTGGATGATGGTGGTATGCCAACGGGATCGCTGGAGAAAGAGATTTTTTGCCAGTTACTCGACTTTTGCTTGATCACATTTCAAATTCAATGGAGAATATTACGAACAACTCCAAGGAACACCCATGGGGTCGCCAATTTCAGGATTTAATGCAGAAATTACGATGCAAAAGCTGGGGCTATTATATTGTCCGACCTAAATCCCAAAATATGGGTCCGCTGCGTGGATGACACTCTTCTGATAATAAAAAAGAACGAATTGCAGCAAGTAAGCCATTTACTAAACGTTTTCCACGATACCGAATTTACAGTTGAAGGAGAGAACAACGGAAAAATGGCATTTCTGGACGTCCTCATCATCAGATTGCCGAACAGACAGCTACAATCGTAGGTTTAGAGAAAGGCGACGCGTACGGGCTGAATTTTGAGCTACCACAGCAACCACCCAAATTGCCACAAACAAACTTGGATTCTAACACTTCAAGCTGACCGAGAATTGTTGCAGAACAGCAGCATCAACGATCAAAGAAGAAAAATGCCTGTACAAATTGTTCCGGAGAAATGGATACCCAGGTAATTTCATCTGGAGATCACTCAGGAAGCCAAATACTGCTTATGCAACAGCTGGAAGCAAATGAGTCACATTCCAATACCTCACGAACACAGCCAAGATGACGGCGAGGCTCTCACGACAGCACAACTATGAGTTTGGTTCACAAACCTGCGAACACCTTTCGGAGGACTACTGAAAACAAAAGGAAAATGAGATTCACTGTCGAAGAACAATGTCATATGCAGGATCCAATGCAATGACTGCAACAAGTGATATATAGGACAAACAGGAAGAAACTTCTGCACCAGAATATACGAACTCCAGCTCGCTACAAAAATACATGATCAGTTTTCTCTCATCTCGATGCACAAAAGACACGATATCGACCGGTGCGGCGTTTGCATATGAGCTCAAGCAAGAACGAAGAAATAACGTGAATTTATGGAAGCGTGGTACTCCACCGAATAAGCTGTCAGCAAACATCAAAACCGACCATATTTATCACTAAAAACAACGATGCCAGAACTACAATGTCCTGAACTGCACAAGCAACCGACGAGGAACTCGTAAAAGAATCAAGGTGGCCCGATTCAAACTGACACGAGTTTGATTGGAGGAATTGGCCAGTTACTAAAACAAAGTACCAAATTAACTGGTGGGCGCAAGGACACCAGTCGATAAACTGAGAAGGTAGGGTGATGCAACTAACCAATCAATCTCGGGAAGATTAGGCTACAACACAAAGCAAATCGAGAAAGGAACCAATCAAAACAAGGGAAGGAACTACAAAAAAGAGATAACAAATCAAACAAAGAGAACGCAACGAAGATCACAAATGAACCAATAGATCCGCGCACAACGCTGGTACTCAACCAGCTAATCATGTTAACAGATTACAGATAACCTTCAAATGCGATGTAAACGCACGCAGGCAAACAGGAGGTGCCCACCCATCTGCACACTGATTTTTCCTTTTCGTATGGTGACGAAACGTTTGTGAGTCAATTGCCAGGCTCGGCGAACATATCAACAGCCGATAAAATCGCTTCAGAACATATATTAGCCGTTTTCCGAAAATTAGAGAGCACGACTCAAGGGGAGTTTTGTCAACATTCTATAGCCAGTCGGAGAAATCGTACAGAAGAAAACTTTGACAGTGAGTGTGAGTTTTCAGTGTGACGTTTGTCAACTCACGGTGGAGCTGACAAGTAAATTAAATGGTTCACCTGAAAATTTTACCGTTAGCAAACACCCTTCCGGGAGATATTTCACTCTAGGATACTTTGAGACTGTCACCAAATATCGGGATGATGAAACTGCGATAAGTTGTGCTTCTGGCCGGGAAAAGATCAGACTTGATGTGTAGTCGGTACGGTCTGTTGTGCATAATCAAATTTCGTCGTTCGATGTTTGACAAGGTGCATTCTGGTCACATGATCAAGTTAAATCGTTCAATGTTTGTATTAGGCAACTGTGCCAGCGACTTCCGTATGCTGTCGTGTTCATGAAAAGTGAAACAATGAGCTCCGAAATAATGAGTTTTGCTTACAAATGTCGGGGATATAAACGCGAATCGCAGCGAATTCAGCGATAGTCAATAATCTTCGTTTCATATCCATGTATTTGTGTCCTGTTATTCGATACATAGTCCATAATGCTGATTTCGGTTTGATTCTGTGATTTGAGGCAGCCGAATGTTTAAAAAAGTTGTCTCCGACTTTCTTCCCCGTCAGCCATCGCATCTGTAAATCTGAGCCTCCACACTTTGTTTTGTCTTCTAGTTGGACACGAACACAGGGACTGGTAACCGCACATACATGTGTTCACGAGAAGTGGCTTTTATTTGAGGCGTTGCGTCTTAATCGGTCGCTAGGTAGCTCGGCGGTTATGCCGCCTGTCTACTTGCCAGAAGCTCCACTGTCCGAAACCATTCCTACCTTTCCGTATGCTCCTGTCTAGGTTTGGATGACCTGGCCGTATCGTAGCCCTCGTGTTTCTTTTGAGTTGCAACTGTGCACTGATGAAGGAACGATGCGTCACACTTTGTTCTACTGCAGTGAATGTTTTATGCAGGATAGCAGACCGAATAATTTACTAAAAGTATTCCTGGAATTTTACTCCATAATGCGACATATCTCACACGTCTGGCCTTTATTGCGGTGGTCTTCTTAAGGGCTGAGAATAAACGAGGAACCTTAGGTCCGGTGATGAAAGTGTGTGCGATTAAAAATTAACGGATTAGATTAAATCTTGCATCCATAAAAGTGAATTGTATTTGAAGAGTTCAGCTGAGATTGCTGGACATTTATGCAGGCTAGGGATATCAGAGATGGATAACTTGTCAAAAAGTCTTGATATTGTTTACTTGTGTCGCGTGGAAACAAGACATAACGTCACTGGCCTTTCTTCAAAGGGGTCCTTCTGGGGACTATTGAGCATCCAATTGTACCATATGTTACTTTTCTCTCCCTAGAGTATAAATACACTTTTGACGCTCTCGACACTGATGTTTGAGATCTGTCCAATGAGATAGCTCTTAATAGGTCTGAAGCGATGCAAAACCGTGCCTGTCACCCAGCTTATATCGTACCTGCGTGACCAGTTGAACACCAATGTTTATGCGTTCAAGAAGTAGGTGTAACCAGTTCTACACGATATGGATACCGGTTCCCTATAATGACCGTTTCTGTATGATAGTGTTTGCCATGCCGTTACTTTACTTTACATGTTTGCGCCTACCACGGGGTTTCAAACCTGTAAGCTGGCTAGGTCCATACACATGTTATTTCATCTCGTCCTCCGTCTGGATCTCCAAATTCAGTGGTGCACTTAAAGTGAATCTGAATGTGTTGGTACACTGTGGTTTATTTGTGTTCTCAAGGTGAGGTGCGAAACGCGGTCTAGAATGCCATCCCTATGAACTGCGTTGTATACATACTGCACCATATTTTGTACTTCCTACTGTGTTTCTCCAGGTCTGCCTTCAGTTGCGTGGTTGTACTCTCACAGTATCTTTATGGCCGACGATAATCCAAATGAAACTGCGGGCCTCGTGTTTTTTTCGAAAATGTGCTGTTTTCCCCCTAAAGGTTATTCATGTCCCTCTCTCATGTCTGTTTCAGGCGTTTGTCTATCTGCCAACTATGTGGCTGCGTGCGTGTACGCTTACTTGCTGATCACTTGTAGGTGAGTTGTGCGAGATGCATAAGTTTTAGTTGACCAAGCTATCGGTACCTATATACTGCGCTTGCAGTATATGGCAATGATTTTTCCTTCAAACCATTTCCTCATGTCGCATAAGCTGACTTATATAATTTATTACATGTCTCAAGTGTAATCGTTACAACAGTCAGTCAGTGGTACACTAGCAAAGCAGTTGAACATGTGACCGTAATTTGTTGCCTGACACAGAAGAGCCGCACGCCTGTGATCAATACTGCCGTCACGGATGTGCCAAGAAGTTATTAGTGCACTTGCGAACCCATTAAATCGATCCTCAGCCTTGTGACACGTATTTGTCCATCGATTGTTGCTCCGAATTTCTGTATGACTGACTTGCTTCTCAATTTCTTCATTGGGTCTTTCACATGTGTTGTTTTTTAGGTGGCGGTAAAAAGTGCAAGTTGGTGTCTAATGAGCATTAAGTCGTCAGCATTTCGACGTGATTTGGAAAAAATACGAAAAACCAACTATATTAGGGAAGCGATCGTAGTACCCTGGGAGGAAGGCGTAGGAATAATGTGTGGCAGACGACACCCAACGTATGTCTGCTGGTTCACTCGAGAGTATCTTCATTTTCCGTGGTACATTAACGGTTGATTCTGTATGATTTGGTATCTGTAAATTTTACTCCAAAGCTTTTCCAACCTGGATCTTTTTCTGGAGCCACTTTTGTATCCTGCTGCCGTATCGTAGCGTGTCATCCGCAAACTTTAAAACGACAGTGATTCAGAGTCGGAAACGGGGCTACATCTGGTAGATCATAGCTCGGCGCACATAACACCGACTAACTCTACCCCAAACATTTGTTCTACTGATGACGTGTTTTCCACTCACCAACAGGCGCCTCTTTGCGAAATACAGCACCATAAACACGGTGCAGCAAACTAACGCCTGCTAGACCATCGGTCCTAGAATCTGACGGGTCAAGTCACAATGTCCCGAAAGTCGAGAGTTCCGAGGCAGCGTGCGCTGGAGAGTTATTAAGTTTTGCAGTCTCGTCAAAGCATACTTCCTATACAGTGGAGATCAACTATGGCAAACGAAAGGCTAACTTCTTATCTGTACCAGTAGTGACGGATGGTCCACCGGAACCACGCTGTGAGTAAGAACAGTATTCACTTATTTACGCTTCTCCGGACTTTGCCACTGGACCGATAAACAAAGCCTTAAACCGCACAGAAGAGGCTGGGAGGGTTTGGTGTGCTACTATCCACACATTCGCCGTCTTCCGAATGAAAACACTTGGTGGTACGATGGTTGGTCTGTACCACAGGATTCATTGACCACCTCTGGCACAAACCATGATTGTTGTTTATTCGGCTTGACAGTGAAAATGCAGCACTAGCTGTAATCGTATGATTTGTACCAAACCACGAGACGTGCCAGTAGGGCTGATTCAGAAGTGTTCGGTTTTCTTTGTTCCAATCAACAGCGCGCATCAGAACATGCGCTAGATCGTTTAGGTAAGTGCGGAGTTTTGAGTTTAATGACTCATTTGTATCGAAAAAGTATGCAGCACGCTACTTTACGGAAATATTCTGGCCCTTTCAAGGTGTGCGCTAGGTGGATCAGCTCAGAGAGAAAAGAACGCCATTATGGGAGACTGCGCAAGTGAGTGAAATCAGTAAGACAGTGCTTAACAACGCTGAAATGTGGGAAACAGAAAAGTTGCGAGAAACTGATGGAGTGACGGGAGTTCTCGATTACGACTGGCTAGCCAAAACGTCCATACTGAATGATTATTTTGCGTTTTCTAATAGGGCCGAAAATCTTGAAGCTGATTAGCCCTCCATCTGAACTACAATGAGTAGAAGTTTGAGTAAACCGATTGATAAAATATCATCACAGTAGTCGTGCTAACTGCACTCCTGGGATGTAATCGGATAGGCCTACCGTATGCACAACATAATCTGACAGGCAAACCTCATGAATACCACTTCTCGAATGATCCAAATATGGAGAAAATGTGATTATGTAAACAGCTCGGGCTGGTTTCACTCAGTATAAAATACTGTCTGCGTAATCACTAACACACCAAACTGCATATTAGAGGCGGATCTTCATTCCAACTGATGGGCTGTGATGATTAAACATAAGCTTTTCTCATCGCAAAGCATCCAAATGTAGTAATGTCGCTGGTGATGCTCATGTGGTGTAGGAATTTGAAGTGCATAGCGCTCAAAGAAAATGCCTCAGGGCGTGGATATATAACGAGAATGTGAAGTTTGGCATTTTGATCTTAGTTCTTTCGAGGGAACTTCATTACAGACAGGCTCGGCTATAAAGTAGATCATTCGAAACCCGAAAAAATAACAAGCTACCTTGAAAAAGAAACTGTTTTAATCAGAAAGCATCAGTTAGTCGCTTCCCACAGAGACCCCATTTAGTGGTCCCTATGCAGAAAGACTGTCGTATGTGATTATTTTTACGAAAACCAGAGAGATCTAAATTGGTATCGTGATTGTCCTCATATTTTCTCAAGAAACAATAGTCTCCGTAATGGTGTTTTTTTTCTTCTAGCGCACCTTTAAGAACTTTTATTAGGGTGCCATAATTCCTCTTTTACCTCAGCCTCAGTAGTACTCGTCACCTTTGATTTCGGGCGATTGGCAATCTATTGACATGAACGTCGAAAGCCCACGACTAGTTTCGCCCTTCCTGCAGCTCGTCAGACAGGCAGTCCCCGAGTTTCCGTCAACCTTATGTTCTACATGAGACCGAATTGCACGAAATCAGCGAAGTACACTCATTTGGAAACAAATTTGGTTTTTCGAGAGGCTCACCTGGAACCCAGCTGGATCTCTTGTTTATGCTGCTTAAAAACATCATAAACGAGAGTTCCAGGTGAGTCTCTCGGAAAACCAAATTTCTCCGCAAATGAGTGCATTTCGCTAGTAGTACGTGTTTATCAGTTGTAACAACTGATCCTTGAATGTAATACAATTATGCAATTCATCACCCTCATTTTTTTCGTATAATTTATCCGCCTGGGTCACGTTTTTGCTCTCTTTCGAAAACAGCACGCGGTTTCACGACGAAGTATAGTCTCACGGTGACCGCCCGTTCTCTTCCAATCACCGGATCATGCTTTTTCTGCTCCATCCAGCTATGGTCCACTGCTCCATGTCTTTCTGACTTTCATGGGACTACCTTATTTTGTGTGATTTCCTCATTTGCTTCTAATGTATCGCATATTTTGACGTGTGCGATTGGTATTTTTTCGTCCGAACTTTGGGGTTTACTACCGAAAGAAAAAATCGTTCAGTTGTAGCACCCTTTCGGCGCCAAACTGCCATGCCACGCTTAGGAGACACGAGGGCTGGGATACTGTCAGGTTACCCAAGCCTAGACAGGGGGAGGCGAGAGGCGGAGGTCGGATTCGAACCACGGACCTTTCGGTCAGTAAATTCGTGCTCTAACCACTTCGGCCATCTCGCACCCAGTTTACTACCGAGGGAGAATATTGTTTGGCCAGAACGGAAGTTGCAGTCGCGCTGCTACGGCATTGGTCTTGGGCCCATCCTTTCGCCGTTTGATCCACGAATCCTCTTACCCGGTTCACTGTTGACCGTTTGTTGAATCCTTACTGCCACGTCTCTCAAGACCGTTTGGCTGGTATCTCATCACTTCATCGTTGCAAACACGTCTTGGTATCACACCAAGATGTCTAGTGCGATGGATAGCCTGTAGTTGGTCAGAATTTCTCGCACTCACTTGATCGGCATGTAGGCTTAATATTCGTCTGATTCCTCAGCATGTTTCCGAGGCCTGTTTCATGTTCCTGTTTGTCCTGTTTTTCGTACAGTTTTGTTCACATTTTGAACATAAGTCCTATCCCAAAGGCAGCATGCCAAGGAACGACACTCTAGGGAAGTCGTGCAACATGTTTTTGCCCGATCCTGGTGTTCTTCGTGCTTAGTAAGACCACTTTTATCTTGAGTTTAGAAACAATGAGCTTCATTTGACACTTATTTGAGCAAGTTTTATGCATCTTGTGGCGATTGTTTCAATCTGACAGTTTGACCGCGATATCAAACGCTGTAGCAGCCGAAACTGGCCTATTCAGCCTAGTAATGTCAGCAATCATTTGCTGAATGAGCATTTCATGGATTGGTCTGTGCTGTGCAGAATTGTTAGCTATGGTGAACTAAGTATCAGCGGGAAAGTGGGCTCTAGAATTGAAATGCACCACCTAGTCGCAACACGAAGCCCCACATAATACCTGATGTTAATTCGGTTCATTAATAATTCGGTTCATTACGGTACCATAGATTTGTCGAAAGAAACTGGTGGCATCTAAAGGGGATGTTACCGGGCCAGAATTCAACCTCAGTTGAATTTTTTCTTCAAGTTTCGGACGGTATATTCTTTCTGACTTGATTTTGGATTTCCCTTTGGGATGAACAAGCGGAATCTTGGGATGCAATGAAATTCATGGATTCATTGAAAGGTTCACTGTTGAGTGACTAGTAGGGGATGAGATGTTGCCTGAAAAGCCAGTTATTGGAGAGCCGTACTGGCTCCCGCTCTTAGCCTCCTCGCCTCAGTTGTGCTTCAAAGTAAAGTTCATTATGCATATTTGCGGGTAGTGGAAAGCAGGCAACGGACATTTCCAGAGCTTGAGTCGGTGAGAGACTTTTGCAGTAAAGCGAGTTATTTGCCTCGTCGCATGAATTATTTGGCTAAAGATGAATTGGGGAGAACGTGGTGTGTTTCACGAGCCAGTGACAATGCCTTTCTTAACTTTTTCTCGGAGTAACTGGAAGGCTGATTATAGTTCATTGCTCATGTTCTTATCACTTGTCCACGCTTGCTTCAGTTGGCGAGATGACGTTTTTGGCGTCTAAATGTCGTCCTCCTCAATCCAGGCCTGCAATAATGAACGCAGATTTCCGGTCGGTACTCGGTTTCTGGAATTGTCTAAAGCAGTCGGTTACCGTTCATGTCTAGTAGCAAATAAAGGCAATCACATGAAAAACCGACAGAACATCCTAGAAAGACATTTCAGTTAAATGCGAACTATTGCGAATGATTCCACACGGAGATGGGGAAACAAAGGGTTTTGTGAGAATCGTGACAACTCGTGTCGGTACAGTAGATGTGTGGGAGCCGTGTTTGAGAAAAAGTTAAGCAACTACACTGCGATGACTCAAATGGCATGCCAAATCAAACAAGTGTCTCGTGTATCGCAAACGATGAACTTAGTGGCGTCTCTCGTTAACACCAATTTAATTTACCATGAAGGACGGGATTATTTACAAAACCACTGGTAAGCCGCTTACGGAAAATCCCGAGATTTAATCACAATAACAATCGTTCAGCTGTAACATCGTTTCGGTGTCTAGCTGCCATGCCACCTGAAGGAAGCACGAGGGCCGGGATACTGCCAGGATGCCCAAGCCTAGACACCGTCCAAAACTTTGTGGGTATGAACGTACCAATACGTACGGATGGGTTTGCAAAACTGGTTCCTTACGTCCTATGCAACAGCGTTGTGGCGCGTTACAAATAGCTCGAGTTCGACAAGCAGGTGCCCGTCAGTCTAGCGTGGTTGAACCTCATTATACCGGAGCCTGCTGAGATTATCCACTCCTTGGTAGTCCACGTGCATCTTCTTGTATGCTCTCGTTGCTGCAGTCAAGCAGCTGTATTTCAAATTATTTCCACTGATCACTTGTGATGCTCATTATCCGGTGAATGACAACTGAGTCGGAAGCCACGGTGACTCAAAGGCTGCCAGTGGTCCGGTACAAAAGTTCAGTGTATTTTCCGGCGACCTTGTGGTGTAATTTGTTTCGATGGGTGATTTCCCAGGTTCGGGTCAAGTAGTGTGTAGCGAAAAAATTAAATCACGGTAAGCTCAAAATGTAATGCAGATCTTTCTGTAGCCAAGTGAAGACATGCTGTTCCTCATGTACATAGACAATTCCATGGTCTAAGATGCCCGTTTATGTGATGACAAAACTGTTAATGGAGCAACGTGATCATTCTCGTTGTCAAAGCTACTAAAGTCTACTGTCTTACTATGTACATCATCAGCATGCCATCAGTGTTCAACACCGATGCTACGCTGCCATACGCTCTGTGGCAGAGTATCTTCATAAATTGTAATGCTGACGTTCAGCGGACTGAGAGTTTCCTGACTTCTTCATATGAGAGCATAAGGCCGTGACCAACCCTCTCAGAACAATGCATCTTAGTGTAGCTACCAAACGTAAGTTACCAGCAACTGCGAGGACCGTTTCTCGAATGATAAATCAATAGGCATGTCTCCGCCGCAGGTTCATGCAAATTCGGAGGGACTGTGATGTCTTGTTTTTTTGTCACGCCCCACATTACTAAAACAAAACAGCGGCTAGACAATAGCGACATAAATATGAAATATCACTCACGTTATGCTGTTTTTCTTTGGCTTGTTATGTCAGTTCGTACGAGAGCTTGGCAATATTGAAGCCGATCGTCCTCATACACCTCCACATAGTGGCCCTCATGGTGCGTTCGCTGATTCCAAACTCAAAGAAAACCATCTGTGAGGTTTGTTACTGGAAATTTTGCTAAGGTGAAATAATTCATTTGATTTGTTATTGAACATAGGGGTGCAAGGAAGTACCTAAGCTTTCCTTGTAGAAAGGGTCAACGGATTTCTGGATCAGGTATGCCACATCTCATCTAAAAAGAACAGAATGGAAAATTCGAGCGAGGTGAGATCGGATTTTTGCAAGGCGGCAAGCTGGAATATTACGCCACAGAGGCCGGGTTGAGCGCAGGCTCCACTGAATCGCTCCTGGAGCAGGAATTGGTCGGTTCTTGCCTTTGGCTGTGTCTAGAGTACTTGTAGAGCCCGCTGCTTCCTTGCCGGATGACTGTCCAGAGTCGTTCCGTTCTTGACCGAGGAATTTGCAAATTTTCACCCCACACTGGTCCATCGGTGGAAACACCAGCGTCTATCTGTTTCACGAGAGATGTTACCCGAGGAGGCCTGACTCTTCCTGAAAACTGCAGCTTGGAACGACGATATGCTATTTTTTGGAACAAGTTCACGCCTAACCCGAGTATCACTCTAGCCAATGTGATACATCTTGTTTCTCCATACGGCAACAACAGTAGAAGCCGAGACAAATTGTCTCACATTCCAATGAATTTAGCTCCGAGAATTCCAAATGAAGATCTTGTCTCTGTGGGCAAGTTTGGCTACTACCACTGCGAAGAACATGAATTATCCATCGTTGGTTAGAAATGGGCGGAGTAGTGGCAGTTGTTAGCCCGAGCGATACCCAGTGGATGCCTTAGTACATCATGCCCGGGCACGTTTTGCCAGGTCAGTATCACCGCGATGTTTTTAGACCCTCCAACATGGCAAGACAGTTCAGGAGGCTCGATGGAAGTGGAGTAAGAAGCTTGCAACCAGTTTTGTAATAGTAGTGGAGGTATCTGGTCAAGTTTACTTATAAGACATTCGAGGGTATAGGACCCAGAAGAAATCGGTGACGGTAGAAGTAGTCGTCCAGTGAATGACAGTGATAACGAGTACGAGTACATCGAATTATGGGGCAATGCTCTATACTCTTCCCGGGTGGAATCTACCTACTAGCATTGCAGTCAGCCACTACAGTCCCTGCACTGGAGAGGCCGTAGACAGACCATGTCTTAATACGAGAAACGAGTCTCCACTATATCTCTAAGAGCCCGCTTTAAAGTCTGAAAAAATTGGTGTGGGGGCGCATTCTTGATTCCGCTTCTCCATCGTCTTCACGAGGAGAGAATGCAGTTGATTCTGAGAAACAGTTGTCGTCAATAGTGCTAGTGGGCCGTCCGGTGGTGCTTGAAAGGCAGGTCTCCATCGAGTTGGAGCCGGGTCTCGATCCGTGAATCGGTTGACTGGAACAAAAGTTCCATGTTCCGTTTTTGGTTTACATGGGATTCTTGTCCTTAGTTTGTTGGTGTCCTCGATTCTGTTTGTGTAAATTGGGCGGACGTAACTCTCAGAAGCTAGTGAAAAGGTTTGCCTATTCGTTATTACACCATGTTTTCTCGTGCCGTCGTTTAATGGGTTTTGATTTGAGGACCCCACTTTTCTGTTCTTACTTGCGCTTGATTCTCTTTGTATCTCCCCACCCTTGCTGAGGTTGGTCCAGTTACTCGATACGAGACAGGGCCGGCTGTCCATAAGTGGACCACACACCTGATGCGTATTTCGGAGTAAGCACGAGATTGTGGGTTTGTTTTTTATGGCCACATCTTTCACCAGGTTCCATTTTTAACAGTTTATTTGTTGCATCTAGAACAACCAAAACCATCTTCTGGATGTCTTTTTAACGATTGTTTCACGATTCTGCTCCTCCACTTTCTTATCCTTCGACTTTCTTGGATCTCACTTCCTCACACTGTAGAACCGAGACCGTACCACTCTTGAGGGTATCTATATTTTAATTGGTTTTTGTGGAGTCCACTGTGAAGCCATGAGAGCAGTCGTCCAGCTGATCACTAAGCCGCAGCAGGACCAGCTTTTTGATTGGTTTTATCCCCTATTTTATAGCCACCTTCTTATTTAGGTGGTCCTAATGCGTTCAGCCGAATGCGGTAGGTTGCACTCGTCTTGCTTTTGTGTCCTTGGGTCGGCTTTTGATCTTGTCATACATTTTCTATTAGGTCGAACTAAATAGTTGGTCCTTGTTGATTTTCATGGCTTAATCCGTCATACGTTTAGTTTTCTGACCATGTATATGGCTGCTTCTAAGCCTTAAGAAACTAACTTCTGCATATTACCAGCGAGGTAAGTGCGGCACATGTGAGGACGTCAACACTCAGATCATTTTGGAACGTCACTGCTGCTGATGACCTCAACCATAATTCCGAATAATCAAGCGCTTATTCTTGTCCGACCATTTTATGCAGGTGTGGTAGGGATCTCAATTTACCCTTGACGTTATCGCTTGCTTCTTGTGGATTGCGTTCCAGATCAACTTGAACATCTGGATTGGGAATGAGACAGCGCACATTTTGCTTCATGTGCTGTCCCCAAGAAATGTTAGGGCCAACTACAGACTAGAAAACGGCCCATTCGATGAAGTACTTATCCCTGGCTTTCTTGTGTTGGGTCACCCAACGTTTGGGATATGGGGCAGTTTACGTCCCCCGAAGGGCCGCTTCCTGGTTGCCCACTTTTAGTTTTGAAAAACTACCGTAATTTAAGCTGATCATTCTGGCGCATTGAGGATGAAGTATGGAGGTAAGAACTGTACGAGGATTCCTGGATGTTCTTTTGTATTTATATGTGAACCACTGATACCAAAACTTGGGTAAATCATTATTTCACCAAAAGGGAACTCAGCATGAAATGCGCTCGTTTCATTTATGCACAATCTTTCACAGGAAGTACGTCGAAGGTGGCTCCAAATACACGTGATTGGTGGTCAGTAAGAGGAATGTGTACCCTTTTTGTCTTTCTATTAGAAAGCTGTAGGTTATTACAAGTTGATAAGAGGCCGGAAAGTGAGAAAGTAGACTACTGGTTAGGGAACATGGTTCTCCCTTAGCATTCGTCCAGCTGATTGCTTCTTAGAGTACAGCTCTTTACAATCTTCTTATAGCTTCACAAATTGAAACATCAACGAATAGTTAAATGCACATCACTGATAGTGGCCTGCTTGGCGGCCCTGGGTCGACACTTTCTCGATATGAGTTATGTACTTGGATGCTGCATATGATAATAGAGGAACCAAGTACACGAGAATGATTCCGATGTGGTTCACGATGTTTCCATTCGAGCCTCTTCGCGAATACTGTACAGGTTGTGTAACCATGACAAGCAGGTTTTACATGTGCCCCATTCTTTACGGTTTGTCGGTATCCGTTTTTCAGGCATTTTGTCCGTTGTTTGATATGAGATTCTGAGCAGTGTGATTTCGGGGAGCTTCGAAACTGGTGCGCGACAGGATTTATTACACAGTGGGTTCATGTCGTTATGGGGTGGATATGGGGGTTATGCACGAAAATATTTCAAAACATTTGCTAGTTGTCGTGAAGCTTTGACCAGTATGTAATAAAAATTGAAAGCACAGGGCAAGCGTCAAAACCAAACTCATACATAGAGTGGAACCGGTTATTGAAAGGAATCTGAGCTCGAATGCCGCAACTACTTATTTTTCCATTAGAGACTGAGCCACAGATCGCCATCCGGTTGTCCATTATACGGCTAACAGTGAAGAAAACATTACACAGCAAAAACTAATGGTGGTAACAATAGGTTTTTCGCATGCACTCATGCTCAACTGAGGCAGGCAATGATACAAAGGGTCGGAAGACAAAACCAGGATGTCGTGATGGTTGTGTGATAATAAGCTGTTTCTCCACAAAAACAGATCATCAAAGAGAGTTCCGGAAAATCGTGACAGCGCCGGAAAAACGCGACAGCCTCAGTGAAACCGTAAACTATTTGGACATTGCTGACAGTGACACTTAGTGGTTGAGTTAATAGCCGGGATCAGGAAAATATCTAGTGAGGGTGATGGAGCGGATATATTTCTAGTAGGGGAAATGGCAACTTCCTGCCAAGAATTATAGTGTATAATGAAACTAAATAGTCTCAATGTTTCGCAGTTGCAGGAAATGCAGATGTGAGTACAGCGTTGGTGATGCGTGAAGAAGATTAAACACCCGTGGAGTTTATAGGTTAGGCAAGCTGAATATGCAACAGAACACTGAAACACAAATTCCAGGAAGGTATTTGGCCGACCAGGGCAAGTCCGCTCCAGTGGCGGTTTCGTCCAAAAACTAGTTTCTGTGTAATTTAGGCAAAAAGCTAGAGAGCATCATCGAGCTGGGTATGACCAACTTGAAAGCCATTGTATATTGGGCGAACCCTTATCTATCTGGAGCGTGTAAGCGTTATGTAAATCATGTGCGCCGGCGAAATAACCACAAGCAAAGTTTGCCGTATCTCTTGACAAAACACTACGTGAATTTATCGGCTCACGGTTTAGCCGATTAAGAACACGGTGTGTGATGAACATGACTGATACTCTATTCATTGCTGTATTCATTATTCTCTTGTTTTAATATTCCATATGCTGTACATATACGCCAATTCGAATACATACGTGCTGCGCTGAATTCTGAATTTCTAGTTAGCCTGGTTATTCCGATGTACGTGCGAAACTTAATTCTCACACCGTGAGTACAGTTCGACCAACAAAATCATCTCACCTTGTTCGTTTGGACGAGGTGGCATGGCGGCTTCAAGCGTCGTGATTTAGTGCGCTTTAAAAAGTGGAAGATACCGACGCATTCGTTCAGCAAACCTCGTGTGGAACGCAGCCAAACAATCCCGGATTTCAGTTTGAGCTCAACAGTAATGCGTACGTCTTTTTTACTCTTGCGTCACCCAAACCATGTGCGTGTGTTCGACGCCCTTGAATTGCTCTTTCAAACAAAAAGAAATGTCCTCCAGAAAGTTGATTCATACGTTGCCAGAACACACCGTCTCAAAATCTGAGTTGGCAACTAACTTATTGGTATATGCAAACAGCGAGACGCATGAAAAGAAGCAAATCTTGGATGCCCAAATCATGACGGAATCCCCGTGATATTAAGGTAATCAACGAGAAATCAGCGCGCATTTTAGGCCAGTGAGCCACATGCGGAAATGTGCCCATTGTTGGCAGAGAATATCTTTACCAAAACTGTGCACATGTTGTGTGATAACAGTGTGCTTCCGAACGGCTTTATTTGCCTAAAACTGAAGCGATCAAACGTTGCAGCCAAACGCCACTGGTCTCCGTACGCACGCTTGACCATCATCTTCTGAAGGTAGCCCTAGGCGTCCATTACCAGACACTGCGGATCTTCTTCATTTCCAAAGTCCCGTTTGCAGCTTCAGTAATTCAGTTCTTCTAGATCCTTGTGCCGCTTGCTGACAGCCCCCTTG